TTTTGAACGCAAGCATAAAGTCTACATAAGGGTGTCGCCAACCCCATGCGGCTGCTTTCCATATATTAGATAGCAGCTATGTAGCGGCGCGTATTTGTTATTCTATGTGCGTCAGCAGCCGTTTATATCCTTTTTCACAATTTTCATATCATACTCGAGCGCCAAAGCATACTGTCCCAAACCAGACATCGCTGCCCGTGCAACGCTCCGCTATGCCCAAGTCTATAGGTGTACATACACACACACATACATATATGCATATGCACCGTTGAGAATGTACATATATACTGGCATATATAGAGATTTCCACAACTCTCGAATGCCGCATTGACATGGCCGACTGCCAACACGGCGGCCCCCACCACCACTGTCCTCGCAGCGGCCATCGTCAACGTCGTTGCCATTTGCCATTCAGCAGTGCCGCCAACACATTAACGCAAATTGTACGTGCCACCGATGTTGAATGCTAGATGCTGTAGCACGTTGCTGGCAATGCTTGATGTTGCTGCGCGGCGCTGATGTGGCCGTTGTTGGTGTGCGCCATGCGCCACAAAAGAGCTGTTGAAGTGGCAAATTTTCACAAGCACACCGCAGTGACGACGACAACTGCGAGAAACAAAACGAAAAACGAATGCAAAAAACTGAGAAGTAAGGACGCGGAATTGGCAACAGCAAGGACAGTTCAGAGAAAGCTGCAAGAGAAGTGGAAAAATATTGGCTGTGTTGCTAAAAATTGCTAACGCTAGTGAGGGCGCTTAGTCATTAGGAGTGAACGCGCCACAAACACTGACTCTGATGCGCTTAAGGCGATGCTTTTTTTTTACCTTGAGTGTATGTTAGTTATGCTCAGAGTTAGTCGTGGAATGGCCGACCTGGGAGGTGCCACATTGTCAATCGCGTAAGGATCCACATAAATTTTTATAGCTTGTGAACGGTGTAGAGGGACCCCGGAAGTGCTTGAAAGAGTACAATTGGTGTCATCACCAGTTCGATGTATTGGCTGTTGCTGTGGCATTGTATGGATATATATACTTTCTTATTATAGTTGCACATATATATTTACATGCTTGTGCAACAAAATCTGGAGAAGACAATATAAATTCTGCACAGTGAGGTCCTTTCTGAGATAAGTATTGCTCTCCGAGTTAAGAGGATCGACATTGGATTGAATTATTCTTTACAAAAAAATAAGGTTATCACGGGAAAAAAAATTTTAAGTGCTAAAACAACAGTTCATTGAGTTCCGATCATAAATTAATAAAAGTAATATATTTTCCATTAATTTCGTTTTTTTCTTGCAGTTGTAATGAATTCCAATGTCTTGTGAGTAAATATTATTATCTGTTCATCCTTCATGCCGCTGCTGCACAGACACCCCTTAACGCATTTCCAACCATTGAAATCGCGCAAACTCAGTTCTGCGTAAAAAGCCGCATTTCCCCTGAGAACGATTAGGGTATCAAACAAAAAACAAACAAAGCACTCGCATACATACAACATCGAAGGCTGCCGCAATATTTCAACATGCCACACAGCCACCCCTCAGCATGCTATTACGCTCTATCCATCTTTCATCTTGTGCCACCCACCCACACAGCATTCGCATTGTAAAAAGGGGAAATTTTTCATTTCCGCTCTCAAAGGAAATCACATAATTAAGGTGAGCGAAGATATATACGCTTGACGCCGCAGAAGACTGCTGCTGCCACTACACCCCTCACGTGCAGTCCCATATTGCCACCCAAACAGCGCGACGACATTTTCATCTTCATTTAGAATCCAACACTTCGCCACTCCCCTGCCCCATCTAAGCAGCAGTCTCATAGTCTTGCTGTTCATTTATATACTGCAGCAGACTGACAAGCATGAACGATGATGAAGTGAACAACAATGTCGTCGTTAGACAGCTTCACTCCCACCACCTACGCCATCTGCCGGATGCCGGATGCTTCTAAGCCGCAAAGGATTGGTTTTTTGGTTTGCTTCGTTGGCTGTGTGACAGCATCCATATGTTACCCGATAATTTGGCGAAAGTTTTAATGAAAGACATGGGAGCCATTTTTGCCGCCATTTTTCTGCTATCGCACACATGCAAACATACCGCAAATATCCATACACATACATACATAGACACATTTATTTATATGAGAGTACTTTTGGTCCTTCGGAAAAGTGGGTGAGATGAGTAAGCGCAATTTCGTCTAGCAATTGTGAAGAACAGTTGAGTTTTATTAGTGTGTCTTCATTCTAAGCGACACCGGATGTTGTCGACTTCTATGTTGACATTTCGTAATGACCATATTTAGTGAAGAAGTAGCTTGTTGTTGTTATAATAAAGATAATGATAATATTAAGAACTCGGAGGAAATAATAAAGTGAAGGAAAGATAGTGTTAAGCTAATTAGTGGAATAAGTTTAGCAATTCTAACGAAAGCTTTAGGCAGTCAATACACTTAGTTACAACAATTAAACATAGTTCAGTTTGCAATTAGAGGCGATAATAGAACTATAAATTAAACGCTAAAAAAAATAAAGTAAACATAACTCCAAAAAAAAATATTCACATCCGAGATTCTATAAGCTATATATTCTACAAACTTGACGAGCATCTTTACAGAAAGACGAGCATGGTCGCCTTATCATTGGAAAGATAGTACATATACTGACAAAGCTAAATTAAGCTACGCTTTTTTGAAGGTTTTAAAGAACCAGCATACCTACAAAAATCAACACTCCTTCTGCTTATTCGTCAGACTTGGCAGCACTTCTGTAAAATCTCTCTGAGAAATAAAGCCATTAACACTGAACTTTGTAGGAAAAATGTATAAATCGTAAATAATTGTAGACTGAAACGAGGACCAAAAGAACTTAATAATAATCAGATATTGTTTACAAAACACTGTTCCACGAACGTACACTTCAAGGCCTGCATAAAAAATTTCGGCTTTGAACTGAATCGTCTATGGTGAATAAAATAGGCACTTCTTTGAATTAGGAATTAGAGATTCTTATTGAAAGAACTTTTTTTTTTTTGATGGAAATCTATTGCTTTAACGGTTCTACCTCGACTTTTAGTTTAGAATACATCCCTAGCATGCATACAGAAAACATGATAAACGAATAGCTATACAAGAGTATACCGCTCTGTAAATTTGTTACTAGACAATCTTGTTAGAAAAATTAGCTAAACGTTAAATAAAAGTGGTAAAATTAGTTATAAAACTGTTCATGCTTACACATAACCTCACACAAAATGCGTACTTTGGTGATACTGTCAAAAAATCGCAACAATTTCGCCCATAAAAAAACCGCGGAAAAAGTTTAGATGTATAAGCAAACAAATCTACAAAACACACAAAAAAAGCCAAGCAGACTCGTTACAAATTTCGATTTCCCGCTGGACGTCCAGCCAACACATAAAATGGAGAGCAGTTTTGACAGTTTGTTATCCATTCAAAGTTGTGCGCGTACATAGTGAATATTTAAAACATAGCGGATATTTTTTAAAATAATTTTTTAACAGTTTTCGCCAAAAAGAAAAATAAGCAACGAGATTCCCTGCTGTCATACTGTTAAGCTTGGCCATAGGTCCTGAGGCGTCCAACACCTGTTTTGGTGGACATGAACAAACTTACATAAATAACATACACATACTACAACAACGACAGTGTCTCGTCTCCAAGGATAGCGTTTTGTGCATATCGCTGCTGCGGGCAACCTGTCGTGCAGGACATTAGTGGACTTCAAACGCAAGCATGCACATACATACATGCACATCTATATCTATATATAATAGGTATGTGGTATATGTACAGTTATGATATGACAAGTTAAGCGTTTATTTTCTGTTCGAAATATAGAAAAACTGCTGCAATATTTGAATGCAGGCAACGACATCTGAAATGATATTTACATAAGTATTTCTTTACAAGCTGTCACAAAGTCAGAAAACTAAAATTATGAAAAAACTTACTAATATTTTGTAAAAGAAGGCATTTTTTATTCAAATGTACTGATAATTTGCGGTTTCATCATTTAAGGCTTATTAGTTCGCATTTTGAAATGCGTGTGAGGCCTCCCTTACATACATATGTACATACAGCCATACATGCCTCTGCCTACATACTCGCAAGCAATTTGATGAATTTTCTTGCGGTTTCCCGGCCGAATGTTAATACTTTTCTCACATTGGACGCAAAGTTAACTGTGAAAAACTGTAAAATGTGCACTTACGCATTTCTCTTCGGCTACGCCCAGTACCCTTGGCAAAAACAGACATGTGAATAGACATAAGTATGTACATATGTATATTTTTTTATTGTTTTCTTATGTTATCGCCTGTTTTACAGTACTATTTGCGTAAAATACAAAAAGTGCGTGAGTATCTTGCGGTTTTTAAAGGAGAAATGTTAAGAAATTTTATCTGCTTCTTTTTCACACATTTTTTAGGACGTTTTCTCGTTTTCATAATATCGCTATGTTAGAGTTACAAAAACTTAGGGAGTATACCTGTAAGAATTGAGTAAAATTGTTGAGGACCATATGTTAGATAGAATGCCAGCAGAGAAAACAGCATTGTATCTACCTTTAGTAGTAATACAATTGGTCAATACACAAAAGTATACAAAGCTATATATGTACATACATAAATTTTCAAAAATTTGTGCAAACAACAGCAAATGTAATAAATGTTAGTTATATTAACTACTCAATATTTAATAAATTCACATTTGCTTTACACGTTTACATTTTGTTTACCAAAGTGGCTGGAATGATTATGAAACTAACATGATTTTGTTACTTTCTCCAGAGAACGTAAAATTGCTCTCTGCTTTCTTACGATATAAACCTTTTTTCGATATTGGGGAATATTTTTGGTGAATAGCGTATGAAATATTTCGGTGGTGCGTATCTAAGCTATGGAGGGTGTTGTATATTAGTATGACTGTTACAGTGACATCTGTAGGATTATTAAAAAATTACTTTTAGCGGCATCTAACTTTGAATACGAAAACATTTTTTTTTTAATCAATTTAAGGAAATTGTCAGAAAACGTTGAATAATTAATTTATGTACGGATGAAATCATTTTCTGATATATTTAGTTTATATTTTGCCTAATACAAAACACAAACAATAATATATTCGAAAGTAAGAACTGCTTTATCTATTAATTACGTTTATTATTATTAATTAGTTACTGACATTTTATTTAATCGTTTACGTTTAGGTATACAATGAACCGTTGCCAAGGATACTTTAAAACTCTAATGGAATAACGACGAAAAAACGACTAGTCTGTCTGGGACATGAAGTGCATTGCAATAAAATTAATAAAAAATAGCATTCAGTTAACATATTAGTTATCTAATATCATACAAAGAAGTCAGAAAACAATGAAGTTCATACCTTTGCACACGAAGAACACATCTATAATTTATAAAAACTCGTTATGTTCTTCCGCAAGCATTATTGTACTCATTTTCATCATATTGTCGGTAATGATTCCTATGTTGCTGGTATCGCTACTTAGCCCATACTCCGGTATTTCGGAATCACGCATTCTTTTCGAGCAACCACGATTGCAATTCAAATTCCAAAGCATATTGATTGCTGAGACGGAAGGGGAAGTTGTAAATAACAAACAAGATGTTAATTTGGTGGTATGCAGTACTCTGCCTCATATAAATACGATCGTAATGGAAAACGGGAATAGTTGTGAAGGAATTAAGGTAAGCAATAGGCTCAAAAGCTACTAGTCAGTGTGGAATTCAGTGCTAACACTTTACAGTATTGGACCGATGATTTCGATCATGATGGCACAATTGACCGAGCACATTTCCAACAACAGCTAGAATCACTTCCAGGTCGAATCAAAAGCATCGACTTGGCAATCTTTTTTGAAGCAAATCTAAAGGTGAAGTCTATAATCAAACAAAAAATTCTGCAATTGCTTTAACTTTTCGTCTTTTTTATAGCACAAATGTTCTCTTTCACCGCCTGCGCTCCTTACTTATCACAATGTTATTCCATCAGGAATGCAATTAAGTGCTGGTACCATATTGCTAAAAGCTGAACTAAAACTAAAACAATACATAGAGTTCACTTGCCCTTTTCCGGGGCGCAATATAAAAACCCAGTTTCATCAGGTTAACTTCAACTCTAATAGTAGTCACGTCGCCTTGGAGGATTTTCAATTACAGTCCCTCCTTGAACAACTAAAGAAGAATCCGGCATATTTTCAACTCTCGGAGCAAGAAATTTACTTTCGTCGAGAACCAGGAAACACGCTTCGAATACAACTAGATTTGGATGTAATGCAAGTGCCAGCGCGATATCACTTGAGTGTTTGGGAGCGCCTGGGGCAATTTTGGTTATATTTTGCTTCCTTCTTTGGAATTTCATTCTATATTATGAACAAAGTTAAAGACTATCTGTTTGGCCAACACATAATTCGGGCTTGGGAAGTGATACCATGGAAGAAGCTCTACTGACACGAACCGGAGCCAAACTACATTGATTTGGATGATTTCTCAACTTCGGTTATGTACTAAGTATTTTAAAAAATTTCCATAATGTTAATATGAGAGTTTGGCGTTACTGTGTGGCAATAATAATTATACATTTAACCCTATTTAAATAAAAAATTTACTTAATAAAAACGAAAAATTGTTAGTAGAATTAATTAAATTATTGCACCCATAGGAGTGCTGATGTATTGCTTAAACTTTGGCGAGTATAACAAAACACTTTGATCTTAATTCTTTACAAAAATGTTTATAACCCTACGTTTTGACAGTAAACAAATCTGTCTTTTTTAAGATCTTTACTTGTTACAATTTGGATATAAATTATAAGAATACACTGGCTGGTGTGGTATCTTATAAAATATAAAACTTTAATAAAATTCTTCATCTGTACATCTATATGTCCGGAACATGTGTTATCATTTATTCTGAAACGAAGTGAAATCTAGATTTCCAGAATCAAGGGAAATTTTAGCCGACGCAGAACTGGGGTCATAAGCACGATTATCTTCGATAATAATAGTTGTGTGAGGGTAGTGATCAAGTTGCACAAATAAATAACGATATTCCATTTTTCCCGATGATGCCTATTAGTTGTAAGGAAAGTTATTAGTGAACAGCAGTTTAATAGTTGTTACATTTCATTACTTGACGTGACTCCAAGTGCACTGTGCCTCTGTTGCGTATACCTTGTACGTAGAACTGCATGCGTACATGTAGTACTCCGTTTCTTTCGAAAGTCGAATGTGCGACACGTTGTCGGCGACCACGACGTGACTCCTCGCCATATCCTTTTATGGGAGCACCCAGTGCATCTTGGACTCGTGGATCCTAAATGGTTAAGATACTTTCGAAATTTCTCCTCTAAATTCTCTGTGCACCTACCTCTTTTACGAGATCCAAAGCCTCTGAATAAATATTATTCGGACTACAACTTGAAAAGAGTTCCCTGAAAATGGCATATAACATTACACCGGTCACTCCAATACCGGCGAGAATTATCGCTGTGTAACTGGCGGTTTTTGTGTTTTCCTTAATTTTTTCACCTAGCGGCCTTACATCTGTGGATATATCAGTTCGTCCTTTAGATTCTTGCAAGGACCGGCTTGTTTCCTCCTCCTTTCGCATTTGATAATTAGGTGACTGAGTGATTGCGATCATGCGGCACATTTGATGTTTCAAAGTTTTATTCATCACTTGTCGAAGAATAACTAGTTGAGCCATTTCATAAAATTATTCAACCAAGTTTTAATTTCCAAATATAATAATGTTTAATAAGATGCAATAACAGAAAACTAGGACTTATATATGACATATAATACCAAATATCCAAACAGCTGATTTTCACATCGATGTTGCCACATTTTTGGCGTTAAGGGTGTTCACTTTTGCTATTTTCATAATCGTAATCAGCAGTCTAAAAACATTTGAAATTGACAGACATATATCAAGAAACATGTTTAATTTTTTTCTATACAATTAAACGTAAAATAGAGTAGGTGTGGTAGGACAATTATTTTATATGAAATACTTTTACTTTCAAATAATTAATATATATAATACGTTCTCTAGTCTAAAGCCGACATATTTACCAAATTTAAGTGTGGCAACGATGATTTGAAATTTATTTTGTGGAATAATTTAGCGTCAATTCATACGCATGACATTCGCATTTTTTTCATTTCTCTTTAAGTGGAAAATATAGGAAGAATTTACGTTGTCAATTTTCTGAGATTGTTAAAATAGGAATCGGAATCGGTATCAGAAAATTGTAAACCAGAATGAGTAATGGACGTGTGCGTGCGCGCCGTAGTTCCATAATCTCATCATTGTGTGAGTGTGAAAATTATAATATTTAAGATGATTTTAGACAACAGAACAAAAAATAATTATCACAAGATAAGTGGTTCCGGAAGATAAACATTTCCAAAAATAATTACATTTTAGAAAAGTGTTCGTGTTGAAGTAATTGAGTCAAGAAAATAAGAGCATAAATATAATTTGTACATAATATAAAGTGAAAAATGGGAAATTGTACCGCGACATAAACCTACCAGATATAAACGGAAGTGTGAAAATACATCTATCTGATTTTCTTGAATGTGGCTATCTCTGAATATACATACTTTCATATATGTGTGTATATACTTATAAATATACTATTTGCACCATATAATGGAAAATTCAATAAATATTGGCACAACTAAATAAGAACATATTTGATAGTAATTCCAAAGTATGCACATATATATTATTGAAGTAAAACTATTAAAAAAAGAAATGACCATTAAAGTGTATAGATCACAAAAAAATCTAAATAACATCCGCAAGCAATTTTACTTAGTATCTCCTCTACATACATTTGTTAATATTTTATTTTAATTGGTAATCAAGAGTATACCTTAAAATAACAAAAAAAAAAACAGTTTTTTGATAGTAAAATTAACAAGTAAAGTGAATTGCGGGTGTAAGTTGACCTTTCTTTTTAGATTAAGCAGAGGTGAATACTGCACGAGTTACGAAAAGCACGCTACCTCCGGCCAATTGGCAGAACTTCCATTAACTCGTTCAATCAAATATAGCGAAACACACATAAATAAAATAATATAATTTCACAACAACATACATCAAAGAAACCAAAGCAACAACAAACATATCCATCCGATTGCAATTTTAATAAAATTTAAGGCGTAAATAAATGCATACGCAGATAATAAATTAAATTATTTACGGTAGTAAAAATTCTATTATAATGCAAAGTATACATACTTTTGTAAGTTATTAATCATATAATACAAATTTCTAACTTGCTACAAAGTTCAAAAGTATTATTCACTCTGTATAAAATAAGTAGCCGTCCTACAATTTAGGCACTACGTAAGCATTTAATAAAGGAAGAATGGATTGGGTTATTCATGACGAACTCGGCATCACTGTCGGTCATGTGGCTAGTGGAGCCGCAGCATCTGCTATGGTAATTGGCGGTGTTATACCTTACGTACCGCAATATTTGGAAATAAAGAAAACACAAGATGCAGACGGATTTTCGCTTCACGTTTGTCTTGCGCTATTGATTGCAAATTCCTTAAGGATATTTTTCTGGTAAGTTTAAACCATCATATACATATATATAAATAAAATACGAATCTATTTCTCATTGAGGTGTCCATTGACTATTTGCCAATATTTTCCTTGTAACATTCTAACAGAGTGCAATTTTTTTTTATTACCGTTTAATTATATATATAGTTATTGTCATATTTAAGTAAATTTAAAATGCTATACAAAATGTTGAACTGATTGAATAGGTAGTAGTAGTCTGTGATTCTTGGAATTCTTGTACAGCGCATGACAAGTAAATACCTATGCACGTGCTTATAGTTGCTGTAAATTACGATGCTGGAGTCCTCGCGCACTCCCTTTTGACTAGCATCGTTACATTTAGTAAGTGTGGTCAGTTCTTGACATAAATAGTATGTCGTTCCCAAGGCAACATGACCGAAGCGTGCACGAATTTGTACAACACTAAAAATCGTGTTATTATTTTATAAAATAATAACGACTACAAATCTCTAAAATTAGTTGGCTGGAAACTCTTAACACTTATCTTAAATAAATAGCGAATTTAACATACAAACATAAACACAAATAAAACTGGTATGACAGGTTCAATACAATTTGCTAAGTGTATTTAGAAAATCCTGTTTAATGAAGTATCAATATTATGCACTCAAATTGATATCACTCCCTTTAGCAGTGCATTTCTTTACTTGCTTATAAGATTTTACATTTGAAATTATTTTTACCATCTCATTCACATACTACAATATGTACTGATTGCTTTTGGAAACGATACCTGAAAATTAGAGGATATTGATTTCAATTACTTAACGCAAATGATTTTGAACTCTGAATATTTTAGTTTTAGGCATTATAATTGATATTCGTAATTCGTAAAATTACTATTTTCGTTGTAAAAAATAACGAAATCCAAATACCATTTGTAAATGTTTAAAAATTTCAATTTTTTCGTATGAATTTACAGATAACTTCTATGTAAACGTATGTGTGAAAACCTACATACATACGTACGTACATATGTACATATATATGTATATACTGCCCCAAATAAGTTTAGCTGCTTAGAAGTGTTATACACTATTATTGCTATAATCAGTTGTAAAATATGGTGCTATAAAAACGTATGCTGATAAAGACATGGATGCGAGCAACCTATATCTCAAAATGAATATATTGTAAATATTACATTCTACATTTATTTTAGACAGGGTTAGCAAAACAAAAAAGTCAAGATCGTTTTCAATGATCTTCGACTCGAACAATAAATTCTATTATTGAAACGCCAGTCAGAATTCTTTCGCAAGGATGAGTTGAATATACATACAAACATATGTATCTCATTTCTCAAACCTTATCGAATTTCCCAGCGACATGCAATATAATTATGAAGATGCCTATATACACATCGTGCACATACGAACATGTTAGGAGGCTAATGACAGTAAACAGAAAGAATACATTAATGCGCACACGTTAATACAAAATGGTTGCGGCGACAGATAATCAACTGCTGAACCCCCTCGCTTTATCGCACAGGTTGATGATCTCATGAGGTTCTGAAGCACGAGTACGACAAAGACGAGTTAGAGTTCCACAAACAATATTGTATATGCATATTATTACATATGTATGTATGTGCGTGTGTATATAAGAGTGTCAAAATGTTGATCATATAATAGTTGATTTTGGTAAAAGTGTTGGTGGCAAAATCACTTCCGTCTATTGTTCTAAGTAAAAGCTGATAGACGAGTAATAAAACATAGAACATGCGAAATACTATGAATTTAGTGAATATATACATACATGTATTCCTCTGAAATACATACATATACATATAAGTGTACATATGAGTACATGTGTTGAATAAGAAAAGTGATCTGTCTATGGAGGAAGCTATCGTTTCATATAATATTATTTCACGTTTTCAATTCCATACTATTATACATACATAAATTTCACAGTAGTATTTAACTACGCATTCATTTTTTATAAACGTCAATAAAGCTGACGTAAACAAAAACCTAATATTGTTTGCTTCTATCATTTCATTAACATTTGTCTGCTTAATTACCCTATTTTCATTTATCATATTTTTATTCACATTTTGCTTTCCACACATATGTATGTACATATACTTATTTAGAAGGTAAACATATTTACATTCTGTATTCTCATAACTCACTTGAATCAAATGATAACTGTCTGGATAACAAGCTCTTTTGATAAATGAGAATATGTACCATATATACATACATATGTACATATATTGTATAATAACATATTGTTTGATCATTTGTTGGCATGAATTAAGCGGCCTCTATCACTATTAAGTCTGCGGTTTTTTAGTTACTGCCTACCAATATGTATGCACATTAAAATTGTACTGCCTCTTATCTGAAAATTTTCTGATTTTTACTTCCTCTGCCTGTCCTTAGATAGCAGCCCAATGATAAGAAGCAAATTGCTTTTTATCAACTTCTAGCAGCCACTCAATGATCACTATATAATTATTTGTATTATGGGGTAGATAAAGCATATTCTGTTTATATGTATACACACATAAATGCATTGTATATACAAAAGAGTTAAGTAAACAAAGATGGCAACATTTGAACGAATTAAATAAATCGAAGAATTAACAATCAATATTTAATTAATATTTGCACTAAATGTTAACCATTTACTTTGGTTATTTGATTATTTAGGTATTTAACGCTATTACCTTACTAAAACAATTGTGTGATACAAGCATACATATGCTTTTGTGCACATAGTCTGCAATTGAAAACAAGTCTACTTCCTGAAGTCATATGAATATAATTTTTTATATACACAAGAGTTGTTAGCGGACCCATTTGTTATACCATATGTGCCACCGTAACTCAGATAAAATGTCCTTTCTGACTGATATTTACAGACCTTTAGCACATATAGTACCTATGTAAATCTGATACAGATCGATATTGCATCAATATATAAGGAATACTTATGTACTATTCATATGCGTTAATAAAAAGTTATGAGCATTAACAATTTTATCAGACGCGTACTTACATACTCGTATGTACATATATATATACGTAGAATATAATATGCATAGTACCTACGTACTTACATACATACATATGTATGCCTAAGGCTGTTGACTAAAATCGCCGCATTGCTATCGTCTGCCAATCGGTCTATTGCCGCTAACTGTTGTTGTTTCTAAGTAATTGCTTGCGTGTCTATGTCGCCGCGCCAATAACGTCGGGCGACTGTCATTGCACTTGACCATGGCAGCTTGCAATTTCTATGACGAAAAGAAGCGTGGCCATTAAGCGATGACTCAGAAACCGGTCTCACCGCTCGTTGTCAGTTAGTCAGCGCCAAACATGTTTCAGTTTAATCAACACCAAATTCGTCCAACTGAAGTTTGCTACGGAAAGTAGTGGCGCTGCCGCTATAAATAATGCGTTCACAAGCAGCATTGATAGATTGACTACATGCCAATTTAAGTACATACGAGTATATTGTCGATGAATTGTACCAATAAAGAAGGTTGCATTTTAAAGGGTGATGTGTACATCGGTACTATGTGGCAACTGTGTTCTATTGTGGTTGTAGCGGTAGAATTCTGCTGAGTTGACAGTCCTTGGCCGCCTTAAAATCCGGGTCCGTTTATTGCCATTAAGCTAGTCTACATTTAAAGTCTCTTACTAAGCCAAAAGAAACTTATACAAAATGCCTTCTGCACATTACTTGGATTTCGTGTATTACTTGTATTTAGCAGTTATGTTTTTATATATTTTTCTCAGTATTTAAAATATACAGTTGTATTTGTGCTGACCTTTCTGGAAGGTCAACCGCAAGGAGTCAGCTTTGAACAAATCATTTCTAAACATATTTCTTGCTTTTGTCCTTTTAAGCGATAAAATGGGAGTGCCTTGATAGGCGCTACGTGGGCGAGGTTAATTTCTGTCATTGTGATTTCATTAAAAGTGAACCAGCGGCTTACTTTTCTCTCTACCTGATACGACTTTTCTAAATAAACACAAAAAAAGACCAGCAAATACTAAAACACGCAAAGTTATGTTTAAACGTCTGTGTTTTATGCAATATACTAGATTTTTTTTAATAAAATAATATATAAAATATATCTGACTTAAATATTTAATAAATTAAATTTATTTGAGTCCATGAAATACTAAATGCTGACAGAATGGCTTTAAAAAGCAAAGATATTCAAAATTAATTAATCATCGACATTTAAAATATGGTAAAAACTTCTTTCGATTGGCCAAACATGTATGGTATATATGTATGTATATTTCCAAATATAGAACACATTTATGAATCTTGCATTTCCTTATAAATGTATTTACTAAGTGCCAACAGATGTGATTTTATCTTCGCTTTCAGATTACAGTGAGTTGTAACGATATACACAAATTATATACATTTTTATATTAATAGAAAATCAGTAATGTACGAGTATGTATGTATGTATGTAATAATGATTATTTTTGGCCAAAAGAGCCAATGAGCTCATTTTTGCATAACAACAAAATGTATATTTTTAAAATCAGCTTTTCCACACAACAACGCATTTCATAGCGCATCGCTAGAAAATTGAGCACAGGTCCAGTAAAATGTTTATTCCATGTCCAAAGTTTGTATGGTTTTATTTTTGTGCTTTTACTTAATGCTGTAGTATTTTTCGATTGTTTTTATTGCTATTTGTATGTTTTGTTTCCATTTCGCTGAATCGCGCATTTTCGCGTCTATAATTTACAATGCCGCATCGATTTTCTCATGCCACATGAGCTGTCAAGTGTGGCGTGAACCTGTTACAAGCTCAGCGAAATTGCACACATTCTTACGACACGCTTCGACCAGAGCTCACGTGGCTGGTGCTTCACGTTCCTACGCAGACTTACCTTTCCATTACGTTGAATGTTATGCGTGTATTTCGTTTTAATTTTCATTTCGGTTACCTTTAAATGCTGAAGGCTGATTTGAGTGGCGCGGTTAATGATAAAAACATCTTATTTCCAATTTCTCATACACATGTCTTTCTATGTGTGGTGTGCATACTATGTGCGGTTGTGTGTAGGTTTTAATTAATTAATCTTTCATTTAATGCGTCCGCCCTGCCTCCTTCCAGATTAAAGTGCCCGTACCTTGTAAAGTTCTAAATATTTGCAGGAATGTGGCTTGAAATTTAGCAATTACCGATATATTTTCACTATTCTGCTATCTAAAACGAATTGCTATTTTGAGTTGCCGAGTGAAAACGTTTTCAAGGTTACTTTATCCGGCTGTTCTGTATGGGGAAAATATAAATATATTTATTAACGAAAAATCTACTGATTTGTAAAAAAAGATTCCCAATTTTAGAAGAATCTGTAGAATACACATAATTACTATATTTCCAATATCTGCTTTATTAGTTTGGACTACGATGTGTGCGAAGAATATTGATAGCATGCCATAATTGGCATACAATTTTTATTTAAACCAAATGAACAATCGAAGCTCCGTATAGTCAAACTATTGTCGACGTCCAATTTCAGAACTTGATGATGATATATTCACATCATATTTATGTATAATTAATATGTGAATTTTTTCACACGTACATCCGCTTCGAAATATTATTATTTTATACTGAATAAAAGAGCACGTAAGTTTCCATAACGACAATTTCACATTTCATAAATATTTTCAGTTCTTAACCTAGCTGAAATTTTTCCCTTAGTAGTCACCATGAATAATGCCAATCATAAACTTAGGCTTGCATAAGATTATTTATTTAGAAATCGCTACCGACATTTTGTACGTTCATATGCTTATATCTCTTAGAAAAGTTACATCAGATTTATTTCAATCTTCATTCTTCATGAGAATTATTTGCATATTATAAAGATGTCATGAACTTATCTTGAAATAAAAACCACAAGTTAATAATAATAACCCAACGATTACCCTCCTCACGCCCAACCGACGCGGGGGCGCAATCCGCATACGTGCGGAATTAGCCGAGTCAGAAAAGGCAAGAGCTAAATATGTGGTCAATATCGTGTGTTTACTGGCGGAATGTTTATAAATATGACACTAATATCATACTCTTATATATTTAACAAATACGAGTATGTATGTAAGGACCTGTAGATACACGGTGTGATTTTCAGATGAACTTTTGATGACCGAGTTATACTAGAAACAGTGATATGCCTCTACAAAAAAACACCCTGTATATATATGGAAATGTATGTCATGCCTATACTTGTATACACATACACTGCATACTCTTGCATCAGTCCACTCATATTCTTAACTTGCACCAGATTAATAAGTGATAAAATAGCTGTACAATGTGGTAGATAATTCAGCAGAGAAAACCTCAGCACAATAGTAATAAATCTGTGATAACATGTGTATACATTAAATATGGAGTACTAACAATGAATAGGCTTTTTAATATGGCTTTTCACCATTTTTACAGTAAATTGTGGGACAATGCGCTAGTTATGCTCCGGAAATACTCCGTTAAAAACAAGCAGAAACAAACAAAGACAGTTTTTATTTGTTTCTTTGTCTCAGATTTTTTGCAAAATGTGCCAATCTTTTCAATAATTGTAATCACCGGATTTGGCCCCATGTGACTTTTTTTTTGTTTCCAAAACTCAAGCTACCGCTACGTGGAACCCGTTTCGCTTCGAGGCCGTAAAAGAAAATTTGCAAAGGGAACTGAAGGCGATCCCGGACCCGGACCTATAAGGCATGTTTGATTGGAAAACGAGGTGGTATACATATATGTATCGCTTCAGAAGGAACATATTTTGAAGGCGACAAAACAAATATTGAAGGTTAAAAATGTTTCGTTTTATTTACAATTTCCGGTAACTTTCTGGTCTTAATACATATATCTTATGCATATCTGTGTGATAATTTATACAATATTAGGTAGCAGTTAAGTCAAATTTAACTGATCGCCCAAAACGTGACAAATAATTCACATAACGAACTTTAGACGATCCCATAGACATTGCTGGTGCTTGTTCGACGATGATGAATTTACCTTCAGGAATAGCTAACCATAATAGCTATATATAGGAATAATAACACAAATGTGAGGAGAGAAACCTCAAATATGCCCACCCTCTCCTTTCTATTCGCAACCTGTTCAGAGTTAAATGAACATCGTTACACAACTTACTTATAAAACGCCTAAGTTCACTGTTGAATACTTGTTTTGAACCTAGTATACGTGGATGAAACGCAAAGCTTTGCTGATTAATACTTAAAATTCCTAGCCGCAATTAATGTGGATTCTCTCTTTCTGTGTTAGTGTGCACTTAGGTAAACAAAACTATGTAAGTGCAGCAAAGAGCGCCGCGGCTAATCCATCATTCGCTAAGCGCTCATACAATAAATAGCTGCATTCAGTTCAGTTCCAAAGCAATGCTTGAGTTGCAATTTATGTGTGCATGTACCACGTTAATCTAGTGGCGAGCTCATCATGCAAAACTCATACATGAACGTCGAATAAATATATATGTATGTGAAAGAATTATTTCGTTAACGCACGAGTCCTCTACATGAAGCAGAGAAATTGTAATGTGTGCTTGAAACATATAAAATTCTATATAACCAATAGACGCTAATGTAGAGCGAGTGTGATGCCAACGCACGACGATTTTGGCATAGATAAACGTACTTGAAAATACGCTAAGTTGTTGCTAGCGTTGACTTACGTTGCTTATGTGGTCTTGCGGTATGAAAGCGGATAATGTAAGACATAAATTCCATTGTCGGTATTCGTGTGGGCATAGGTAGGCTTTTGACGACATTCAACATGAATTCTCCTCATCATCACCTTCATCGGCATGAGCAAACCCCTGTAACTCGACCAGATGTGAGCAAAATTTTCGGAAGAACTTTGATACTTTAACAGAACTGTGTGTATGTATGTTTGCATATGTTGCATTCAGCTCAAACTTAGATACAATTAGATAAATATATATATGTATATCTGACATTCGCTTACGCTTTGTTAAAATTAGTTGTGGCTGCTTGCTAGTTTTCTCAAGTGTAAGCGCCATGGGAGTGGCCCCATGCGTGGGCGCCTCAGGAAACAACCTTGTAAATAACAAAGACGCATTCACACATATATAACAAAGCCGCTATTTATGTAGCATTTCAGTACATTAGCATTACCGCAAACCACAGGAGGTTTTCGCACCTCCTACACTCGCTCGAGCGCGTAAGATATCCTGTTGAGATTGATGTACACAGCTTTCTGGATTTATTGCAATGCATCAGCCTCGAGTATTTAAATTGCGCTTATTGTTATGTGCTTAACAAGTCATACCATTTCACAACATTTTTGCATAAAATTCGCCAAGTCACAACTCTTATAGTTAAAATATTAAATTAATAAGGCATATAAGTGCTATAAATTATAAAAGATAGATCTTTTACCGCCCGTGCTGTCCACACTCAAGCTTCTGAATTACAAACAAATAAAGATATGATTGAGTAGAAAAACTAGTGTAATAATGGCGGAATTAACTTTTACTTCTAGTTGTTCAGTATCTGCAGATTAATTGCCACTTAAATTAGACTAAAATCCTCACAATTTCAATGAGCATAGTTTACACTCGGTTGTAAGGCAACATACTTATGAACAATTAAGCTGCTCAAAATTATTATTACCTACATTAACGAATGTGTGAATGTGCATAGCAAGTATGTACGAGCCTCCATACAAGCTCAAAATCGTTGCATCAGAAAAGTCGCATGCAATTAATATTGAACTAATGTACGAGTGCAGTTGTGCAAATACATAAACACGAAGAATTATAAGAATGAACAGTTCCGAGTATTTTTGTATTAATTTTACATTTTGAAATTATATACTAGTATATCTACTCAGAAGTATTTGGGGACAATCCTACGTTTTTTCACCGATATTTTCTTAGTAAATTCTAATGGTTAGACTAATATGTACGTTATGTCAAAGATGGTCTACATGGCGAGTTGTACCGAGTATAAATACCAGTTTATCTATTTTTTTTGTATTTCTACTCGGTACAACAAATACCAGTTTATCTACCATTCCCTCAACAGTCGGAATGGACCCGGATTTTTATCCGGCCAAGGACTGTCAACTCGGCAGAATTCTGCCGCTACAACAATAACAGTCAGTTTATCTGATATGCTCGAGATATAGGAAATTTTTACTGAAGTTATCTGTTGCACGGATGAACGCTTAACAAGTAATTTGCTTTATGCTTCTACATCGCGCTTTATTCTTATTTTTGTGTTCATATCATTTTATTTGAGTCATACGCGCTCCCATAAACACAGTTGTATATTTTACATACATAAATATATGTATGTATGTCTGTGCATTGTCAATCGTACACATAAATACCTACTAGTATTATAGTACAGACTATTTTTACATTTACTTGCATCTATCGATTTTCTGTGTACTAGACCTCACCTAACGACTCGGAAGCATATAGTTTGTGTTGCAAGCCGTATAGACATTTTATCCGGTTTAGAAGCGAACGTCTAAAGTTTCGCACAACCACATGGTGTTGAACGTGCTATTTCGGTAAGCATTTGCCTTGCTTGTGAAGGTGGAATTATCGCGAAGGGCAGATTATATTTCCAACTGGGATCTGCGATTCAACCAAGTCCAACCAATTTGCAATAATATGTATGTATGCGTTACATGCTGCTAACAAACAAGCCAAACTCATGCTGACAAATATACTTTTCCAGCATAATTTACGACTCATTACGCGCATGCATTTCAAGACTTAAAGCGATATATCGTGATTTACACATAAAAGTGTGCATAAACCCTTTGAGGGCAATCTTAAACAGCGACCAACACCGTCGCTGCTGTGTTGTCATACATATACTTGTATTTTTAGGCGCGCTCTTTAAGGGGTGCAAATGTTGCGCTCGAAAGCGGCAACTGACGTTTTGACCCAGTTTAATTGTCCTACTATATTTTTCTCGCTGATACACTTTGCACAGGAGTAATATTATTGCATCGTTCTACAACGCTCCACTATACATAACAAAAACACACATATGCACATATGTATGTATAAACATATATATAGCTGTGTGTATAACAGCACATAGGAATGTAGCTGTATTTTGTGTGAGTGTCCACACTTTTGCTTTTGCGCCAAACTAGGCTGTCGCACATCATATTGATGCAAAAATTGCTGTCCGACATTTTTATGCTAGCGACGCAGTTCAAAAGCCCAAAATTCCCCGTTTCTAACATGAAAAGGATTCATAAGAATTTCTCTTTGGAAGTCATCAGTAGGTGGAGGCAATAGTTCCTCTTGTATATATAATATATTGTATATGTTTATGCCTATGTATTGATATTGATACAGTCACTTTTATTTCCGTTTGTCTGCGCTTCCGTTTTTCAATTTGCTGATAACCCTTTCGCAAGACTTATCATTTCTAACGGCTTCTTATTGTAAGGAACCTTTGTATCTGGGAAGGGTATTATAGCTTCGGTGCAACCGAAGTTAATGTTTTTTCTTGTTTTTATTTGTGAACTTGCCCAAGAATAATAAATAACAAAAAGCTGTCTTATCACGCACATAAACACATAACCTATACACATAGACAACAGAGTATTATAGCATTACCCTGTTGTCTTCTCTGCTATCATAACAAACAGCTTTAATCAATATTTATGAATTCAATGTTATACAGCTTTAGATATGTCTATGTATGTATGTATTCGACCATAAACCATATCATAATGATAGAATAAGAAGCTGACATTTAATTAAAATTATATAAACAAGCGTCGTCTCAATATTTTGGTATATTGAAGGAACTGTGTTTAAAAGCTTTGTAACTTGCGTATTCTACGAAACATTCCGAAACTAAAGTTTTGCTGCCTTACAGAAAAAAGCGGTCGCTAGTGTGGGTGATCTAACGAGATAAGGGAAAGATAATCTAATTCATAAATATCTGATATTTTATTAAACTATACCATATATACAAATGGTCAAAAATGCTTCTTATGCCGGCCAACAATATTGAAATATTATTTTTACAGCCAATCGGTGGCTTTTACGATCAAGTGGTGAACTTTACAAAAATAGGAGATCCACAAACACAACCATTGCGTCGCCAACTGCAACGTACATAATATGTGTGTTGGGGTCTCCCATTGATTCCTTGAGACCACACATTTCTAATATGTTAAAGAAAAACAGTGATCACTTATAAAAATCGAAACCAGTTTATAAATAAATTTTTAACATTTTGTAACATTAAACAAAAGTTATTTTAATTAATCGTGTGTTGTGCAAATAAAAGAAGCAAGTCGCTTGTGCACGCAATCCGTTCACACGTTACCACATAGCTACCCAACATACATACATATTTATTACGTATATACTATACGTATAATATATATATTTGCATGTGTGCATTAGTATTTGGTACAAAGGTATAAGGTAAAATAGCAAAGTTTTCACGTAAAGCAAGACGAGTTTATTCCTTTAATAAATTCAGTAGCCGATTGTACTTTAATCACTTTATGGATAGTACATAGTCTATTAGGATATTATATAAACAACTTTTGTTGTTCTGTTGCAGGTTTTCCAAGCAATATGAGCTTCCGCTTCTGGTTCAAAGTGTTGTGATGAACATTACTATGTTCCTAATGATCCATTTATGCGTTAAAGTGAAACGAATGAATGCATCAAATAGAGAACTTACTTTTTCGGGTAAGTGCGCTATGAACTGCCCGTATTGAATATAGCAACAAGGAATTTTCAGACTAATAATGATTTATTTCCCAGCCGATGATCTGCGTCTACCAAAAGTAACGACCGACACTGATACTGCTGGTTCAGTTTCCACAGATGCCGGCGTTTTGAAACGTGTTCGCTCGAGACACTATTTAAATGGTAAGTAAGCACCCCCATATGTACATAAGTATGTAAGCCCACGGCCTCACAATTTCAACTTATATTTAACACTGCAAAACAAATTATCCTAAAATACTCATTTCAGATCTCGATTACAAATATTTTTGGAATTGGAGCGATTTTCAATCGTATTTAGACTTTATGCTTGTTGTTTGGGCAATTGGGGCAGCTATCACATATCTAATGTTATCAATTACGTGGTTTATGGAGGCGGTTGGCTTTTGTGCAGTTTTCACAGAGGCTATGTTAGGTGTGTACTTACAAACCCATTATAAGTTACCATTTATAAAAATGTAACGAATCTTGAAATGTATTTACTTAGGAGCGCCACAATTTCTACGAAACTTCAAGAACAAATCAACTTATGGAATGAGCATCCAAATGGTCATCATGTGGACGCTAGGTGATATGTTTAAGACTGGCTACTTTATTGTTAGGGAATCTCCAACACAATTTTGGATTTGTGGAATGCTTCAGGTGTGTAAAGAAATAGTATTATTACATAGCTTATGTTTATGCACAATTCGAGTTGTAGTTATTTTTGCTTTAAAATTTGTTTCAGTATTATTGCACTTTTTGGTCTTCATACCCTTTTAACTGATTTAATTTTATTATTCACCCATATATAAGTATGTATTTACATACATATGTACATATATACGCTTGTATGCGTGCGAAGCAAAAAGGTTGCAGTAGGCACAAATTTATATTGATATATCTTTTGCAATTTAAATAATGTTTCCATTTATGAAATCCGAGTTTGTCATCTAACGAAAAATCTAAAAAAAATATTTCGATAAGACTGTATCATATATAGGGAAATATAAAAGAGTGCTTATGATTTTGGAATATATAGTTTGATTCAGATTTTGAATTAGATTAGCGTTTCCACAACCAAGAATCATATATTCCAACTATTCTGATTGTTATTGTATTTCTAATTGTTATTTCAGGTTAGCTTAGATATTGCAATTCTTTTACAAGTGTGGTTCTATAGGAAGAATACCAAGGCACGAGATATGCGTCGCGGAGATTAGCAGTTTGCCCCCGAAGAACAACCGCAACAAACACAAAACAATCCACATGATATTCACACTCAAACCAATACCACGGACGTTAATCAATCTCTTGCTATAAGCCCTACAAGTAGCGGAGATGACCATCTGCTGACCGCAAATGCAGATAATGAACATTTTAACGATTATGAAAATAACGCATATAAAAAATATCATGATAACAGAGCCTTCCAATATCACCATAATAACAATACACTTTCGAAACTAAAAGGGTTATCCAATGTCATGCCAACTGACGAAAACTGCGCATTAGATACCGTGGTAATTGTCAAAAATTCCAATGGCATATTAAGAAACTCATCCAGTCGATCGAAATCTGATTTTCCAATTGATATGGTGTCAGTGACCGCGGAACCTAATGGGAGAGCACGTCGCAGATGTCGATGTCAACACAATGATGTAGTGCGGCAGCGTCATAACGCTACACAAACACCAGGCTCTTTAGTAAACTGCAATCAATTGATAAATTGTCACAGTCATAGCGCATCAATTAATTGTTGTGGAAATAGAAAATCTACTGACTGTTGCAGCCTAATTAGTGGTGATTTAAAATCCGGTGAAATGACTTCTCACTGCCACATCACACATCATTGTCACCATTTTTCTCCGGGTAGTGGTAGGGACGGAGAGAAACGCAGGAAGAAGCATTGTGGGTGTAATAATCGACATCATCATTCTCACCATCATAGACACCGACATCACCACTATCGTTACTTGCAATCGGAATATCAGCAACAGGATAAACCCTTCCGCCAACTTCCAGGTTATAACAGTAAGTCTTCCTTTGATTCCAGTGATGATCTACAACAATCTGGCCTTGAAAATCCGCAAGAACGCTTGCAAGAGATTGCAATTGAAATTGATGCAGCCACATTGACTGAAGATAACACAAGCACTGCCACCTCAAATTTTGCGTATAAAATGGCGAAGGCTAACATAGCGCCCATAATAATGGCACCAATACACGATAACGATGAGGATGACAAAAAACAACGCAGAAAATATTATGGTCATCGATGTGATTCCATGAACTCAAGCAGCGCAGGGGAAACTGATGAATTGTCTTATAGAATTTCCGGTGTGAAACATAAGAAGACAGGTAAGTTATATTATATTATAATAGATTCTTAATCCATTATATCATACTGTATTAATACAAACAGAGAATATCATAAGAACTATGTATATACATATACATTGTTTTTCAGATTGCGATAACACTACAATTTGGACTGAATCTAAGACCTACAGACATGAAAACACTATTACGCCACACTTATCAAACTGTAAGGACTCCCAGTGTCGGGCCAAGAGCAGAGCGGCTAACAAACTCAATGCGGCGTATAACGAATGTGTTAGAATTCAGCGTAAACAATTCAAGGCGAGTGGCGCAGATGAATGTTGCAGCACTTGTTCACATTGTTCAGATTGTTCCTGCCAGAATGCAGATGCCACTAGTTGCAGTAGTTTCGATGAATTGGATGCAGACGACCATGATGAGGAACGACGGATCGCACCCCATGAGTTAGTGGTGTCAGCAGAATGTCATCGCTGTAATTTTCACCATGCATCTACAACGTCAACTGGAGATGAAGCTGAAGAGGAGGAAGACGGTGGTGCAGATGATAAACTGACCGCGAAAACTGCCAAGCATTCGGAACGATCCATGCAGGATAATACTACGGATAGTTCTGCGCATACGAGTCGAAGAAGCAGTGCAAGTTTTTGCTCCTGTCATTCGAGTAATTGTTATTGTTGTGAATGTAATTGCGCAGCTGTTGTTGAGGATGACTGCGACTCAACAACTGGTCAGATGCTTACCGCAAGGGACCAACCCTGTACAGCTTTAACATCGACTGCCGAATTTGATGCAGAACACTCAAGTACACTAACACCATTAACAAATGCATCATCTGCTGTGTCAACGCCTGGTGCGGAAGACGCTGATGTGACGCTACGCAGTTTAACCAACACTTTAGCCGAGGACATTTGCTCCTCTCCGAGCCAATCTGCAGAATATTTCTCACTCTCTTCCAACAATCAGCAAAGCCATTTTTCTCCTACAGAAACTCCTACTCATAGACCAATAAAGACACCAAGCGAAAGCACTACAGCCGGAACCTTATCTAAATGTAATTTAGATAAATCGGTTGATTCAGGAGAACTTGGCAAAAAAACATGTAAACACTACACCAAACATCATCGCCATAAACGACCGACTTCTCCCATGGACTGCTACTTATGACGAAGTGTTTCGCTGGTCGCGTGGCCAGCGATCGATGTGAACTCGCTACTACAGCAGACTATAAGAAAGACGGCTGTTCTACACGAGCCGCCAACGGCGCGACTAACAGAAACACAAGGTGAGTAAAATTTTACACACTTGCTGAAAGTTTTTCAATAATATTTATACAAATTTTGCAGTGTCGGAACTGCAACACCAAAAGGGTATAAGACATGGAAGCAATGATAGTTCCTCGGCCACATTGACCCCATCAATTACAACAATTATCAAATACCCACCTATGAACAGTGCAGACGGTAGTTCTACAGCATCAGCCACACCACAGCAGATATCACTGCAATCGCTTAACGCTGTCTCAACTGTCACGGCCATTTGTGGCACTAACGGCGCCGCTGTGGTAACTACCGCGTCAGCACCTAGTAGTGGTCGAGTGAAACGTACTTCCAAATTTTCACCTGCTTCTACAGAGGCATTCAACTGTGATCCTATACTTTTTGGTCAGGAACGCCGATCAACCGAAATTATCTTATAGCCATGTGGCAAGAATGGGGGATACAAACCAAGAACTAACGCCTAGAGTGCCATACTTATCTGAAGTTACGCGGTCTGAAAAGATTAGGTCTCGGCTGACTCTATTAAGTACGAACATCTCGTAGTTTAATGACGATTATGTATTAGTTTCTTTTTGCAAGCTTGCTAGTCACTGTTTTGAAATATTTAATTGGGCTGATCACTAGTTGTTCAAACACATGTATCATATAAATCCGAATTTTTTTTATACTTTACTATGTCTATGCAAAACGAAAGAATTGAACAAATATAAATTCTGCATGCTGTATGATCTTTTGCACACTTTATCTATACATTTATTTGATATTGGCGTGAATATTCATGGAATTGACATATAGAATATATAGAAATATCAAAATTATCATACTTTTTTTTACAGGTATTTAAGACTTGCGTGAGTGTAGGAAAGCTGACGTTTTCCTCATTTTATTGTGTGAATTGGACTCTTGTTTCCAGAGTTTGTGAAACTAGAAAATTATTTTCGTTGTTTCTCGGGGGTTCAACTGTAATTTATTTAAATTAAGTAACTATGTATTTGTAAATTAATGTAAAATATATTTAGAATGTATTAAAATAGCTCTTTTGATAAAATTTAGTTTTAGATTTAAAATAAGTGTTATACATTCTAATAAAAATTTACAACTTACATTGAAATATTTTTTCCTCATTTAAAGCATTGATACATATATGTTTAATTTCGAGGTATAAGATAAATTCGTATAGTTTGCATTGCAAGCATTTTTATTTTGAAATCAAAATCGAAATACCATTACAGCTAATTTTTGAAATTGGTAATATATTTACGCAAGTACTTTTTCTGACTTGCTCGTCATTATTTCTTTTTTATGTGTACACGTGTATCCCTAACTCTGTGCGAATAACTTTTGTAGAAAGATGCAATTTACATACTTTAATAGTAGCATTAAATTTAGTCAAATTTTTTAGGTAAATTTTAAGCAGTATTTATTGTATATTTATGCATATGCGAGTACTAGCATTACGTTACATACAGTTTGAAAAAGTTATTGTTTAAGAATTCTGCTCTATATTACAAATTCATATTTCATTTGATATGTTCCTTAAACAAGAAACTCAGCTTCAAACCAATCAGTTGAATATTTACTCTTAAAATACTCTTCCACAATTCGTTAACTGGAAATTCCTCATCAAAAGTAATTTGAACGATAAAAGTATCCATAGTTTTTATGAAAGTTTGCTTAAAGAAAGCAGTTACAACATGCATTTAATTAAATGTAGAACCATTAAAAAAGTACAGAAACACATTGAGAATTACATAAAATCAGAAACAAGAAACTGGTTCATATATATGAAAGATCAAATACTAGCACAAATTGTTAAATAGTACGTAAACATGTATTAACATACATACGCATGCCGTAGTGACTTTCATTCTTTATTCTTATCCAGAGAATGTTTGACACCAATTTTTTTACATTCTTCGGATTGATAATTATTTAGAAAGGTAAATTAGCATAAGAATATTTCTATGCGGACATAATTATAATTGTGTGCACACTTGAGGGATCCCATAACTTCTTAACTTATGAAGAAAAATAGTAAATTAGTTGAAATTAAAGAAATATAGTATATGAATTGACCAAATATTATTTGGTGCGATGGTGTCGTGTTATTTTTGTTAACTAAGATGCAGTTCCATACAAGTAAAAATTTATAAAAGTTTATATTAGCAATATTTTAGCTATATACATCTACAACTATATACCCAAAATCGTTGATTTATAAGAATACAAAACATTTGTGGACATAAAAATATAAACACTAAATATACTCACATTTACACATACTTGTAGATATACATATATATGGTAGAAATTTTGAAAACACGTAAAACTAATTGTAACAGTTCAAAGCAATACATAGCGTGCTTAGGAGGAAATATCGACATTAATTCTTGTGATTTCTCAAAAAATTTACGCGTGTGTTAGCAGGTATACTCAATGCAAAATATTCGATTCCTGATTCCATAAAAAATTAGAAAAATGAAAACCAATTACGTACTTTATATACTTACATACATTAATTAAATTCTTAACCGTAGATGCGTAGCTCTTTTTCAAACACTTTATAATGTACAAATATGGGAAGAATATCAGTAGCCTATATACCTACATATGTATATGTAGCTTCCTGGAAAGAAATAAAAGTAAAACAAGTATATTAAAATATCACCATAGAATGCGTTTAATTTAAAAATAAACAAGCATATATAGCAAATATAGGCGAAAACTCCTCGTACACATTATAATATTTCACACATTTTCTAACAAAGTGACATTGTTCACATGCATTTCGAAATTTGTGATTTGTTTTCCGGCGGTTAGTCGTACCCCGTAGAGGGCGAACAAGGCTCTTCATAAATAGGAAAACGTTTAATTTAAATTTTCTCTGAATCACCCTGTGTGAGCTTCTTGCCATTGTTTTCAGTTCTTATAAATCAGCAATAGTGGTAAATTCTGTCAAATTTTGCAATTTTGCAACACAAGTTAACGGAATTTCATTACGAACGGTTGTACGGTGCGGTGAGTGGCACAGTGAACCGATAAAATAACAAAAAATAGGCGAAACAGCTACAAACAAAACGGAAGTAGGGATATATGAAACTAAAATATTTGTGCAAAACAAAAAGTTTAAGCATTTAACCGACATATGTTTGTATAAATTCGTAGAATTAGTGTATTAGTGTTATATTAAAATTGTTAAAATTGGGTTTTTTAACGAGTATTCAGCATCTGAGCTGCAAGCATTGATTTTACCCATCTGTATTGGTCTCGGATAGGGCAGTTGTCACAAGAATAAAGTCAGCACAGACAACCAGCAGTTTTATAAGGGTGGAAAAGGAAAAAATAAAAGTAGATCTGCACTTTCACATCATTGCTGATAAATAATTGATCTTTGAATGACAGTGAGTACAAACTTATAAGTTATAGCACACCTACAATTCGTAGATTTAATATTTGGTCCATTGGCAACGAAAGCTCGCATACCTATTCATATTTGCACACTGTTAAAATGCATTTATATCTATGTTTTCGTAAATATATATGTACGCATGTACATGCGTAGACCACATTTTATGTGTATGTATGTAATTCCTACTTTCGTCAAATACTAGGCGTTTTTATATTTGTTTATGCGTACATTTTCTGTTTTACTATTTTTGTAAATCATTTAAATATGGATGCATATTCCATAAGAATGTTGCAAATCCTCTCGTTTCAATGGTAGCAGTGAGTTCAAACCTATTTACAACCGCTCAAAAGGTATGATGATCTTTCCTTTTCTAAGATGTGATTATTTTAATGTGTTATCAAAACAAATATATATGTATGTGCATATGTATAATAACATAAAAATGTACATTCGTATGTAATGGGTTAAAAAATGGGAATAATTTAGTGCCCCATACTAGTGAAGCTCCAGTTTTTAAGACACAATCGAAAGAAGCAAACATATGTGTTCAGTGATGCTATTCTTATTGCCACATAATTTGAAATGTAATTAAGGAAATCCCTGCTACAATTTTAATTTTTCAGATTAGTAAATTAAGCTAGTAAATAAATTATTTTTAATTAATTCATATTGGCAGTAAAAACAACCAACCTCTCAAAGTTTATTTTTAGAGGACATCTGTAATGTTATTCTCATGTAACAGCCTATATCCTGCCCTTTGAAGTTCACAATTAAAGAAGTAACCTTCATATATTCACCTTGCCTACTCAGAAGGTCAGTTAAGTATTGCAATCGACACTGTGCACAAGCTGAGCGCCGAAGAGTAGGGATACTCACAGACATATATATGTATGTACATATGTATGTATATACAAAAATAAATATATTCAATAGTACAACATATGGAAAATTGCACAAGTTCAGAACTGCTCCTTATATTTATAGTACCCACTTTCTACAAGAAAATAAATAAGCTTTGTTGGCGATTTTGGCTCGGTCAAAGCTTGAACCCACAACACACCGATGCTAAGCATCAACGACTATCAGGTTTCAATTATTATGCTTGCCTGACTTTATTTAAAATTTGGCTTTATTTAGTTAGTGTCATTATGTTTGCAGTCGAATATACTGTTCATGTGTGCTCAAGTTTATTTGGGATTTTCAAGTTCAATGATTAGCACTCGGAAGGTAAGGGAGATATTTTATCCAATTCATATGAGTGCCTGTGTGTGTATGTGCATGAAAATAACAAAATGTTTTATTAGCATTTTCTGTAATGGTTTTACCTATGTAATCTCTATCAGCATACATAAAATTCCTCTTAAATGTCATCGAAAACTGTTTATTTTCAAACGAAAAATTTTAATTTAAGACATGTGTATGAATAAGTTGAATTTTAAAAGCTCATTGAAATACCCATTCAATTTCCACACACGCTTGGGAAGATTTTGAAGCCATAAGTCTAAATACTTCCGGAGTACACAAGAATAAAAGAACAAAGATAATAGAAGGACGTTATTTAGGTCTGTTTGCTTAATAGCTTCCTTCCATTGTTGTAAAATGCTAATTTTTCCGTTCTCATTGTGAGTTATGTTTACATCTCAATGGAAAAGTATCTGAAAAATATTACATTGCATACAACTAGGCGTTCCACATATTTATTCACAAGTGAGGGAATTTTAACGGTTTCAATAAGATCAAAACACAATTTTTTATATTGTATTATATTATATTATTTATGTACTTTATATTTCTTCTAAGGGTTTGAAATGTTTTTCGTGTATATGTTTGTGTGCAAAGGAAATAAAACACAAGTATTTCAAAGTCAAATAAATTGACTGCCGACTAGTAAGGATAATAAGCACAATGTTGACTAATGTTCGCATTCCATTAGACTCTTACAAATACGCTATGTGTGTTTATGTATGTATCCAACATATCAAATCTACTCCTACGCTATCACAATAAATATATGCACATACATTTTATTTGTATCCGCGTATGTTTTATACGCACTTATAGCTCCACAAACGTGTATACAAGTAGTAGCGCTTGCTTAGTGCTCAAACTTGGCTCTCAAACTTCTGAATTTTACAGAGGAGCCATAATATCTATAATACTCTCTATATGGTATATTCTATAATGTCTAATGTCAATAAATTATGAGCAAATAAAGAAAGTTTATTAAGATTTAATTGTAGGTTTTCTACTATTTCTAAGACAATGCTTGAACATTGTCGGTGTTTCACATATGTTACATAAACATATATACATGAACAGTATTAGTCGGTGCTGGTACAAATGATCCCATATGACATACCTCTTAAAATAACATACCTGAGTTAACTAAAATTCCTGTTGCTTGTAATATATTTTTTTGAAGGTGAGCTGCTTTTAGCATTATCAACGTGCTCTATGACGGGCCAATAGTAGTTTTTAAAATAGCAAAGCCGCACAACAAAAGCATATACGAATATGTACATGCATATATCTGTTATCACATGTACTTATGTATGTATATAGGAGCAATCAAATATATCATATAGCTATGGACATGACGGTTGATCATTCAAATTTAATTACTTAATCATATCAATATAGTATTCACCGTTAATTGTGCATGCAACAAAGGATGAAACAGAGGTTGCTGTTAAATGCGGTCGTGTGGATTATCCCTTACTTGGTAACTTTGTAGTTTCTTTGCTGTTGTTGCCATCGAGGCCATAAAACCCACAAACAGCATCAGTTCTTATGAAGCATTAATTTATTATATACATAAGTATGTACATATATCGCGTTATTGGCAAAAGTTCAAAGCACTGCAGCAGCTGTTCGAGTCTCACCATGGCAGCGATAATAAACAAAGGCTTATCGCTCGTGCGATGTACATACATATGTAAACACAAGTAAAAAATGCTAACTTTCAGAGAAGCATTGCAACAACACCAACATTTCTTAATAAATCCATTAGCTGTTTGGAGGCAATTCAGAAAAGTTAAGTCCATCCAATTGCTGCGTAGTATTAAGACGTCCACGCTAAGTAGGAGCAGAAGCTTGGACAAAGAGTTTCAAATTTGGAAGCACCAACAAAAATTCATTTATAATGTGTTTACATACATATTTAGGTGTTCGTATATATAGTACACAAAAGCTTTCAAGTCGAACAGCAATGTGCGAACCATTTATAAACCAACTAGCTCCGTACATACGTACATATGTACTTGTATGTTACTTATGTACTCGAGAAATTGGTTGCAAACGACATCTCGCAGGGCTGGCCCGTCCATATAGGCAAGTTCGGCAATTGCCTAGAGCTCAAGAATTTTAGAGCAGCATTTTGGATACTTTCTTTACTAATTTAATTTTCTTTTTATATTTCAATTAAATAAAAAATAATTTACAAAATTACTTTATTTACTTCACTTGTATATATTTATGTGTGGTAATATACAAAAATCTTAGTTTCATATTTTCGCATTCTAATACGAATTATAAACATCAACGGAAGTATTGTTAATTTTTTTCTAATAGTAGCACCCAGTGGTGGTTTTTGTTGTATGATGTATGTTGCTATGCGTTGATTGCGAGTATTTCGTTGCTTTGCACACAAAATATCACATACAAGTATTTATGTAACATATGTTAGGTTGGGTCAAATATAACGAATGTTTTTCTTTCGCTTGCTCATAAGTGCCGTTTCAGACAGGGATGCAAAAGAGTCTGATCTTTTTCAAATTTTCTTTTGGTGTCGCTCTGGGCATTCACACGGTCAAAAAGAGTCCAGCAACTCGAGTCTAGTTTTTCTGCATTCCTTTTCACAAAATGTTCGTAAATATTTGTGCGGTTCGACTGCGCAACACCGCGCAACACTGCGTGCTGCGTATTTCATTTGTATGTTGAGATGATGGTCACACATTTTGCTTGCAATGAATTACCATGAATATGGTAGAACAATATGCATAATACAAGTACCTACCCGCTAAATAGTTTCAAAAAAATACTAAAGACGGGAATTCCCTAATCCACAAGAATGTATTGAATATCCGCTACTAATATTTTCAAGGCCAAATTTATAATAGGAATTTCCTAATCTTTAAGTATTAAAAACTCATAATTTCTTTACTGCGTATTAAAAATTCATAATTTCTTTACTCCATAATCTATATCTTAATTTTCTCCTTATTTACAATTTGTCATAATATTTCTATTATTCTATGCATACATATTTGCATATTACATACAAAAATAGATAACAGAACTCAAATTTGCGATCGAATTCATTTGAAACCGAGCGCTCTTGCAACCATTCAAAGGATTTGAAAGTGAAAAGGAATGCTGAAAAGGGTAGCAGCGAGCTGTTACGAACAAGAACACAAAGCGTGCCACCCGAACACGAGTGGCACGGTCCCTTCGTCTTTCCTCGTCGTCCCCTCACCCACAATAAACTGGTATGAGACTCTTTTGCGTCCCAATGTGAAACGGCACTAACAAACCACACCACTGGACTTTGAAATTATAGCTGTTCAAACGAGTTAATAGATATCGTTCCAAATTTATTTACGGCAATTTGTGAAGAAAATATGACACGCTTGGCAACACTATCAATTGACAATAAAGTAGCACAAACTCTTATAACAGTTGTGTATGATTTTTACAAATTAAAGACACGAAAATATTCAAATAATTAACCTTTTTTATTGTACTACTAATTATGGTATGATAATTTTTTATTAGTTGTGTTAAACATTTAGAATATGAGTGTTTTCTTATTATTAAAATGACCTGTATAATTTCGAAAAGTTATAAATTTTGTTGTTGAGGCAAAATAGGCTTAGAGGGGGACGCAGAATTTGGCATTTGCCTACGGTGGTAAATTGTCTCAGGCCGGCCATGTGTGCATTATTCCTCATGTCGACGAACTAATCGTTTATATACGAATACATGGCGCTCTCTTGCATTTTATAGATGCTTTTATTCGCAGTGAACAGTTTTAATGGGAGTGATTCACTTTTACTTACTTTCATCTTTCGTATCTTGCAGATTACATATTCTTTTATCGCAGCTTTGTTTGTGTGTGTGTGTAGCGCGGATATTTATTCGCATGCACATTGCATTGCTTGAAAGAAAAGACGCCAAGTTTTATCCGCCTTTGTTTGTTCCCAACCATGCACGTTTATTATACCGTACGCGTATGTACTTACATACAGAGAGGAACGATATTTGCATGTCCCACCTGAAAAGAAGACGAAAAGAGTAAATTGCAGTTACTTATATCTATATACATACATATACATATGAGTACATATGTATATATGTATATATATTTATACAAAAGCACTACGCAATTAAATGTAAATCAATATATCCATATGCCGCAAGTGCATCTACTAAATACGTCCACAGAGAGCTGTGCACAATAGAATTTGTTTCTGATAATTAGAATATCAGCCGGACGTTACTGACATATGTCTGTTTGCGAAGTCATTTATTTCTGCATATATTAATACATATATTCCTCGAAACAGCTTTTTAAACAATAAAAGTATTGCTCCTAAAGGCCACGGAGTATCACACCAGATTCCATCTTGAGAATAAGTTTGATAATTCGCTTTAAACCGATTTAACTTTTAATCTGGCTGTAAAATACTCCCCTGCTACATACATAAATACTTATATTACAATAAATAGTGCTGCAACAAAAGACAAAGCCTAATTAACCGATAATGCCGCCTCTTTTTGCACATATTTTGCGTTGTTGTTTTTGGTTATATTGTTTATTATTTTAATCAATAATACCAGTTATGGGATTAAATAATTGCAGCATGAGTTCCTGAAAGACAGAGAGGCATACTTTAAATAAAATTTGCATATTTTGTGTACATACTTTTTTTAAAAGTAACATATGCATACATGTCTTTACGGATTACGATAATATATTATATATGTATGTACATGCGATACGCTCGCATATTTATAGTTATAATTTATTTCCTACCCTCCTATGCCCGAACTTACTGAATCTGACATTTTGACAGAAGAAAAGAAAATATTCCATCAGAAATACTTTGGACCGAAATTGGTCAACTCTGCTGGAAATCATTTGATTTATTCTTCTAAATTATTCTTTTTTCTATTTTTTCGGGAACACTTACTGATGGAATCTGCAGAGCTTTAGTAAAATTGTATAAGTTTAATAACGATGGGTTAGTTTACTGGTAATTCTTAAAAAAAATATTGATGCAATGTAAGTCTCCTGCACTTAAATACTGCCAACAACAATTCAGACCTCCTCTATGCCTTTGCAAATCCGAACACTATAAATAGGAAATTGAAAATAACACTACAGGTATTATAAAAATATAATAATTGCTACTACAAGCTTATGCAGGCACGTGGAAATGCACTTACTGTGACGTAAATGTGTATTGGTACATACATACATACATATATACATATTAACAAATAAGTGAATATTAGCATATTTTATTTTATTTTTATCTCCCTCTGTATTTTTTCTAAATACCAGAATATTTATTACCACTTTATTGATTCTGCTCTGAATTAATTTATTCCACAAATTATAGGAATAAAATTAAATCTCTAATAACTGCAATATCTTATTAAATATTTCAAAGAGGGGCATGCAAATAACTTGTGTGGTTGTTATAGTTAAACCGCTTAGCATAGCTTGCGGTGTTCACTAACTAAATGCTTCACGTATTCTATTGCTTGGGTGCACTTCTTTCATATACATATATACATATATGCATGTTGCGCGTGCACGCACCTCACGTGCCCAGCAACAAAATATAAAATATATTTTTTACTTGATCCTTTACATTGTCATATTATTTATCAGTTGTTATCTTTTGAAACAAATAACGTCTTATGAATTAAGTTATTAAATTTCTTTAAAATAAATATATACAAAAATAACTCACTTGATGTCACCCTTGAAGCGACAACAATGCTTGAATAGATTTAACAATGTTTTATTTTATTAAATTATTATTAATTATTAATATTTATTTTATTAAATGTAAGACCCTTTGTCTAGATTATGGAATAATAAGTATATTAGTCTATAACCGCAGCATGACCGAACTCCTGTCAAAGAACATCGTACCATCAGTTATAAAATATTTAATTTCACACTTTATAAATATTGCTTAACATATTTATGTTAAGCGTATTTGCTTGTTATCCATATTCCGCATATTCTTGTTTTCCTTTGTTGACTTTTATCGGCGATTTTGCTGATGCAATCACAGTTATCAAACATACTTCTTTATCTCTCTGCTTTACCAACGAGTCAACAATAAATTCTTATAATTTTTGCATCTGAAGTATTGTCTGAATGTATATCTAAATCGGCTATGTTTTTTTGCAGTAATTACAATTCACAAATTAAACTGAATATTAATTTATATATAATTTTTATTCCTAATTCCATAGTTAAACGCATTTGCTATCTTATAAAAAAAACCGTTTCAAAATTTTCTGGAAACGTTAAAATATAGAATTGAATCAAAAATTTTTTTTTCTTTTGTGCTGGTAAAAATAAAATTCCCTTCATCTTACTATGTTAAACTACCTTATATTTTATCTAAAATATAATATACATATATAAAAAATTTTAATGTTTTGGTTTTAGATTTTCTTTCCATCCCAGGTGCAAGTACATTGTGCAACCATTTGAAGTTCTCACGATGAACAGAGTTGTTATAGGTATAAGACTGAAAGATTGAAAAAACAGTAGTGCTCAAATGAGAACGTGCAACCGAACAAGCAAACGAAAACTGCTAGAAAACCACCGAAAATAAAGAGTATCAATTGTGGGCAGCTACACCACCTACTCCGAAGAACGAAAGACTTAAGTTAAATAACAATAACAATAAATATAGGCGAGCACAAAATTGAAAAATGTCGTCCCGTCTTAAGGAGAAAGTAACCGCGGCTATACGAAAATTCAACAAGAGTCGAAGTCGCAGTGGCAGTGGTGATAAAACGGCAGAGGCTGGCGGTGGCGCAAGTGGGAATAGCTCTGGAGGAAATGTCGGCGGCAACGCGACGGCGAAGAATTCAAACGGTAATGCCATAGGCGCAGGTGTTGCAGCTGAATCGCCGGGTAGACGTCTACGACGACAGGATAACAGGTACATATGTATAACTGATTTTTCGTAGTAAATTCTTCAAAGTGAAATTTGCTTTTTTTCAGAGTTTCACCGGCTACAAGTAGAATGGTTATGTCAGTCAATGTTCCACATGCTCCCGATCACAGTATTCGGGCACGGCGCCTAATGAAAGAATACAAGGAGATACAAAAAATGCACAATAGTAAAAAAGACCCAATATTCACGGTAAGCCAAAAATTATATGGTTAATTTTGAGTTACTCATATTATGTTATGGCATGAATGTTGATGCCACAGGTGGAACTTATAAACGACAACCTGTATGAATGGTACGCTAGACTTCATATCGTCGATCCAGATTCGAAATTAGCGAAAGACATGGCTGAGATGAACATTCCATTTATACTCCTGCATCTTGTATTTCCCGACAATTTCCCGTTTGCACCGCCTTTTATGCGAGTAGTCGAACCGAGAATTGAAAAAGGGTTCGTCATGGAGGGTGGAGCGATTTGCATGGAACTATTAACGCCACGTGGTTGGGCCTCAGCGTACACTGTAGAGGCAGTCTTAATGCAGTTTGCAGCGAGCTTAGTTAAGGGACAGGGACGTATTGTGCGAAAAACGAAGGGTTCAAAGGAGTTTAGTAGGTGAGAAAATTGAAATGGATAAAATTGCTCTTCTCTAAGTCTATGTCAAAATACACATATGCCTTTTGTTCATTTTAACAGACGAACTGCGGAGGAAGCATTCCGTTCATTGGTAAAAACGCACGAAAAATACGGGTGGGTAACGCCAGCACTCTCCGACGGCTGAATTGCTATACACCTGCTATAAATATGAACGTACACAAGTGGTGTTAGAAATCAAAAACACAAATGTCAAAAAAGAATGAAGTTCTGGTCCTTTGCTCTGACCAAAAGTATGCTCATAATGAAGTTTATTTATTAGACTTGTATGTAAACAACAAAATAGATATTATACGGTGTACATAAGTATATTTAAAATTTTATTGAACTCGGTATTTTCGATTTTCGTTAAAAAGCTGCCACAAAAAGATAATTCGTTTTAAAGTATGGAATAGTATTTGTACTTGTATTACCATTACGGTTTGCACATACTTACAATATATATGTATATAAAACATATAGCTTAATATAAATATGTCTTTCATGTTTATTTTTTTTCGCTAAAAAAAAACAAAAAAAATGGGGATAGAATAAGATTTTTATAAGACATCACGTAAAATAATATACATAAATAACAAATTGGTAAATTTATCAATTCGCGAGTTCGCAAGTAAACCAAAAACCATCCAGCAACAACTTAAAAATGTAAATATTAAAATCAAAAATAAATTAATTACAATGTAAACTAATCGTTTGAATATGACTCCATCTTTGAACTGAATGCAAAACGTGTATACAACATGGTGGCATTTTATGTAAAATAATAATTTTATGGATAGCAATGTTAACGGTCACAAAAGTCAAAATTATTCAAATTTTGCTAGTTTTATTCAATTATTATTTGATTTAAGAATAGGCGCACTTTGCAAGGGAAAGCTGCAGAAGTGTTTTACAAAAACTTTACATAATACATAAGAGTTAAAAATTTTAGTTAAGATTTGAATTAAAACACTATACATCAATATATATTAATTAAGCAAGCTGTGTTATAGAATTGGAGAAACCAATGTTTTGTGATTTCATAGATACTGAATTTTATTACCAAATAATTACTTTTTTACAAACATAGTTTAAATAATTTATTTATGTTGACTCCAAAGACTATTAGTACGTAATCACTTATTAATTATATACACTTTTAAGAAAATAATATACAATAAGTCTAAATATTTATTGAAGTATGCATAAAATAATTTTATTAGATCTAAATGCATCTAAAATGGGTCTACCAGTTACCGTTATAGTTTCTTATTTCTCAGTTTCAAACAGGCATACATTTATATATACATATAATCCGACATACTTTTCTTCCTGAATTTGGTTGTAAAATGTATTGTTCCGAAAAATTTGCCGTACGAAAACATTCTTCAGTATTGTGGGAATTTTGAGATGTTTTGCAATAGATATTCATATACTACATATATATGTAAGCATTCGTATGTTTAAAATAATTTAATAAACCTCTATATGTAATATACAAAAGAATTTTAATTTCCGAAATGGTAAGTATTAAATTACCCACAAATATAAAATGAGTTTCCAATATACTACACATACGTACATGTGCATGTAAATATTGACGTGTTTAGTACTCGGTAAGTGGAAAAGGGCATATGAACCGTACTTAAAGCCACCGATATTAAGAACCTCCAGCAATAATAATATTTAAAGTTTACATGATCAGTTCTAATTTTGCTCAAAACTCCTGGATAAGTTTCAAAATAATATAAGCAAAATTAAAAATTTCGATTCATCCTGTTTTTTTTTTAAAACAAACATGGCATATGTTCGCTATATATTGTACATACATATGTATGTACTTAAGTATATTAAGCTACCATACCTACCTTAATGCAGCAATTTTTTTATAAAACTGAAAAGGCATGTTTTTTTATTAGGTGCGATATATACAACTGCTAAACAACTTTTATTGCCACTTATTCAAATATTAGTAGTCCGTCCAATCTATAGCAGAATATTTGGATATTGAAAATGTACTTTTTACAAATATGTGTGTACATATACAGACACTTACATACTCGTACATATATTTGCAATTGTATGCCATTGGTTTAACTTTAATTTTCTGCAATGTGTACTAGTATTATTAGCTATACAAATGTTATGAAAAAAACTATGAAAATGAAACGTATATATCTTTTATGGTAATTACAGCTTATCTAATTATTCGCCTTCTGAAATTATTTAAACAATTGATTTCTCTATATATTTACCCGCATTTATATTCGAACAAAGCATTTTAAATTTGCTGAATTCTGAACAAGCTTCGAACGGAACCAAATATTGACATTTTGGCAGCCACTGTATTATAGAAGTTTATGAGTGACTGAAATAAGTAGCAGAGATGTCAGCAGCCACAAAATTTTCGCATTTTTCAAAGGCAAAAAAAGTAATTAAATCGTGCAAGTTCTCTATGGATTATAGTTATTAAACAAATTTTGGATATTGTGTGAATGATTTGAACACTTTTTGTAAAAAGAACTATTCGATTACACAGTGAAAATTACGAGTGAAATTCGTGTGGTCGGATATTTTACGTATTGACGAGAAAGATTTTGTGCGTATGCGTAAGCAAAAACGGAGAAAGGATAACATTTCGCAGGTAAATTTCTACTACAATTGTTTCAAAAATTCCAAAAACATTAAACCATTTTAAAATATATTCTTTCGAGTTACTAAAAACATGAAAATTTAGTGGCATAAGCATATTTTTGTGGAGATATTGATAATTGAAAATGGTGCTCGCCACACGAAATCAATTGACATTCGTCAATGTAAAGTATGTTGCCATCATTTGAAAAATTCGTAATAAAAATCTCCTACTTTAACCCAATATATGGATATTTCCTATATATGTGCATACCAAGATCTTGTGGTATGTAGTCTAATACATACCGAATGTGATTTCTAATCCTTGTTCATAAAGTGGTAAATCAACTTAAAATAAATATTTAACTCATTGAGAATTATGAATAAAACCCAATACATTTTCTTTCGGAGTAGTTCTTTCTTTGGAAAACGATTGCATTTATTTATTAATTATTTCTTAATACAAAGGATTTCCAAGATTAAATAAAATTGTTAAAAATCACCTGAAATATTTATTTGAAAAAAAGTTTTGGCAACACTAACGTCAACGAACCGCTTTGATTATAAGGGAGGGGTCGGGTGTATTTAACAGCTCAGCAGGTTGAGAACCGACCGAATGGTAGCCTGTGTACACCCTCATCTAGGCTTCCCAACATCATCTGTGTAGTCGTATATAGTCCCAGAAATAATTCTGTTCTTTTATTAAATATTTCGGCAGAAAATATCTGTGAACTTTATTCAAGTGACAGCAGTGTGTCGTACATCAAAACTATAAAAAGAACATAAATAGCATACTTACAATGGATGTAGGAGAAATAATTGAAACAGCTGATGGACCTCCACAAACAATAAGTTCAGAATTAATTGAAAATTCTGCAGAATCAACAACCAATATTGGGGCCAGTTCTGGACAAATCGGGGAAATTGAAAGTACTTCTGGCTTAACTATACCATTAAATAATAGCAAAACACTAAAACGTTGTTTGAGCGTGCCAATTTTGCGCGCTGGTCCTTCATTTACATCTATGACTACTCGTGCAGCTGCAGCAGCTATGGCGATGAGAAATGTTGGAAATACAGCGAATTCTGTAGGTGGAAATACCCCAAAAGAGGCACTATCAACACCTATAAAACATCAAGCGTTTAACAAACGTGACGCGGTTGGCGACGCATCAACTGTAAATAACTTTGGTCACAATATCCATATTGGAATACCACGTTCAAATCCTTCCTCTAGGTATATATTTAATTGGCAGTATGGTAAAGATACATATAACTAACATATATTTGATCTCATTCATTTTAGAGAAGTTTCACCGGCGCCAGTGTTTAATATATTTGCACCCCGAGCCCGTCGTTACTCGGCCAGTTACACTCCTCATGGAGCAGCTAGCGCTGGAGGCAACTCCACTGCAGTAAGTGGTTTGCCACTTTGTCTCACACCACGTGTCTCCCAGTTGAGACAAGAGGAATGCGTGGACATGTTAAATACTCGCGAAGCAAATCATGAACGTGAATTACATAGTGCCATGCAAATGTCCCAAAGTTGGGAAGACTTGACTTTGGTTGCTGAAAATTGGTCTTGTAAATCAGAGGACTTAAGTAATCCACTACAAGTTTCCTTGCCATCTGGTGTTACAAGTTGTTCGAGTCCAAGTCCAACAAAGTATAATAGTTATATGAAAATTCGTAATAGTATTTTATAAATGTAATCATATTTGCAGTAATCGTGCCGGGATGAGGCTACCATACGGTTTGTCACCATCACCAACACGACGCACTTTTGCTACTAGACGATCAATGTCACCAATCGCTATGCGGCCATCACAATTAGGACCCGTTAAACGCAAATTTGAGTTGGATGAAGGTGGTACTGGAAGCAATTGGAATATATATTCTCAACCACCATTGAAGAAAATATTTACAGAGAGGTATGTGTTTATTTATTTTGCAATATTTCATCTGCTTATATTTACATAAATTTTTCAGTCGAGGCTCTTCACCAGTTTGTCAATCACCATCCTCAATATGCCCCAGCCCGGATTCTGGTACATACGATGGTCGAATAACACCAAAGCTATTCATATCCAAGTTATGCACCAATAATACAAATAACAACTCAGCTTGTTCATCTCCAAGTAGCAGTGTAAGTGGCGGAATCGGAGACTCAACAATTACCTCAGGTATATGCTCCTCTGGCTCTTCAACGGCTTCCTCCATATCTGGTGGCAGCGAGCCAATGTGCATTGGAAGTGGGGGAATAGATGAAGGCATTTCAGTGACAGAAAATAACGAAAAACTTGGAAATAACAGAATTTCAAATACAGGCAGTGAAGTTCAAGCAATGACCACTGACATACAGGATGATGCTACCTTATTGGATGACATGAAGAGTGAGACATCGTCAATCGGTGGGTGCTCCAGCATCAGCATCGAGTCCTCTTCCTGCGACAGCGCCTCCAAGGCAGCTGCAAGCTTCCTTAATAGACTGAACGTTGATGACATTAGCACGAGTCCGCTGGCAGTACAAAAAAGCTTTTACATCAACAAACAGGGTTTAACCGGTAATAAGAAGTTCATTGTTAGCAGTATAAGCAGCGAACCAACCGAAAGTATTAACGTAACTAGCAGCAACGTTAACGCCTCTACTCTAACTGTAAGTGCATCGGACTTTATCTCTTCATCATGCACAAATGGTTCGTAAATAAGTGAGAGATGGTCCGTTTTCACAATAAATTAAGTTTATAATTAATCGAGGAGAATTGCTGTTCTGTTTTTTGTTTTCTCAATGTTTTTTTTTTATTTTGCCTTGATATTACAAAACTAGTTGGCATTAAAGTACTAGGAATTTAGAAAAAAGTTTGGTTTTAAGTTGATATAAATATAGAATACCGCCATCATTTATTGTTATCAACTCATTTTTGTAGAGTTTAGTTGTCTTTTTTAATTCATGTCATAGTCCACTTACTCCAATTTTTGTCTATAAATCAGACTGAGTATTTGGCAGTCGTTTCATTTCATTTTCATTTAGTAATTACTGTTATTTAAGTCTGTAATGTATGTATGTATATAAATTAGAATAATTTATGTATACAAAAGGTGAATTTCACTTAATGATATGAAGAAAATTGTTTCTTTTTTGTTTGGTATATTTGATATCTGATTTATGAAATATATTTATTAACTTGCGTGACACTTTAATTATCTGTACATGATTGTTTTCTAAAATAAATTGAGTCTATCGGATATGGGTTAGTTCATTTTTGATTAGAGGAAAGCGTTGGACTAAACTGCAAGAAATGAATTTTGCGTTTTTAAAATAATTATAATTCTTCGGCGAATATTTAGGTAAATCATATTATTGTCGTCGTGCTTGTTATTAACTTTGTAGCTCCTATTACTCTTATAATGGTGTTTATACTTGCGTATTAAGAAACATGTATTTGCCTGATCTACGACTAACTATTTATGATCCATGGTTAAAATGTTGCGTTATCTGCAAAGGATCAAAGTATCGCTTAAGTTGCTTCATGTAACTTAAAGAAATAAAATAAATACAATTTGAAATTCAATAAAATATGAGTACTTTATTTAATAAAGAATTTACAATATCTTGTTATACATATAAACGCGGTATAAATATACATATTTCTATAAAATATTCTCTTATCATTAATTGTATACCAAAAGGTTTGTTGAGAATCACAAGCATTTTTCAGTTTTTTTTTGTTTTTGTTTTTTAATTTGTAAGTGACAACATTCGAGACTGGAGGAAAACATTATGAAAGCTGTATGTCTTATCCGTTTAAGGAACATGGGAGTAAAAAGCTTAACTAATATTACGTCTACTGAGAACTTATTGCACTAAAATCGGATCAAATCGTTAAAAAATTAAATGTGGATTTTTGACATTACTACCAAATTGCCTTAGCCACAATATGCAAATAATGGCTATTATTTCAACCGAATACATATTTTTTAATACAAAACTCGTTCATGTATGGTATATTAAACCGTTAAATCAATGTTGTTTGTCAAAAATCCATCGATATATTTAGCTGCATTCCCCGATAACTTATATATTATCGTACGTAATCTCATCATACTTCTACTTTTTCAATTTGTTGGGGATGGAATATTTTATCATACTATAAATAAACAAATACACATAAATATAAAATCAAATACTATAATGGAATGTCACTGGAATGAAGTGAGACAAAATTTCGCTCATAAACGATCTTTGCTTTAAGAAAAGTCATAACAGTTAAACTGCATGTTCATTCTGGGTATAACAGTAATTTGTAATAACACAATTATATAGAAAAGTTTAAGTACTTTGAATACCTTATATACATACATATTTCTAAATTCAATTTGTTGTTTGCAGACAGACTAATTCGCCTGGAGTATTAACATTAATTTTTGTAGGTGATATATTGCATAGTTAAATCACTTTTGAAAGAACTACAAATATTAGTTGAAACATGTAGCACGTTGCAATGCTGTTTCGCGCAACTCTTCCTTGCAAGCGCTCACATGCTCGATTAATTCATCACGCTGCTCAAAGGTCTTTTTGCAGATATAACATTCGTAGAAATACACCATATGATCGTGTTCTTTCAAATGTTTAGTGTACAACTCGATTTCTGTGAAACGTTGCTTACACTCGCAACACTCCAGCCAATCTTCACTGGACGAGTCTTCTTCGTTTGAGTCGTAGCTACTGTCACAATGTATTTTAATTTTCTTTTGTGGACTGGACGTGGTGCTAGAAGAGCTCAACTGTTGCTGATCAAAATTCATATCGTCATCATCATCATCATCATCTTCCTCGTTTGCATGAGTTTTCTTATGCCCACTATACTCCAAGTAGTCACGATATTTTCTTGGGCAATGAAGGCATTTATAATATCGATCGCGTTGATGTGTCGCCATATGTTTCTTTAGTGTTGAGTATTCTCGAAACGGTTTACGGCATTTATTGCAAGAAAATGGTTTTTCGCCTGTATGTATCATGAAGTGACGCTTTAGATTGTGCCTCGTACCAAATGGACGCTGACACAGTGGACAAGGAAATTCTTTGCGAGTTACAACACCCAACTGGTTATAGTTGGGTCGATGAACCACAGGAATATTGTCAAGCAACAATTGAGTACTACTTGGCGTTGTTTTATTAACTGCAAACGGGGCATTTATCGGCACTAATGACGGCATATCTGAGCTGGGCAAAGGTGTAGAATTTGAGCGCTTCGGGGAAGTGGTAGAATGTTCAACATCTAGTGTAGACTTTCCTATAACTTTAGGGATTTCTTTGTTGCTTGTCTCAGCGGAGTTTTCAATTAAGGTGTACCTCGTTGCTGCTGGTGTATCTTGGAATCGCTCAGTAGACAGCAAAGGCCTTGCAGTGAGTGGTGGTGGTGGTAGAGACGGAGTCGGTAACGATGGTGTTTGTGGTTTGTCTGGTAAAGAAGAAGGTGACGCGGAAAGTTGTGGTCGCATTGCTGCTGTTATTGCACTTGTCTTCGAATCGCAATCATTGCAACGTGTTGAATCTTGAATCATGGGCGGTTTCACACGACATACCATACACACGAAATTCGCTTCGTTTGAATGTCGGCGGCGATGTTTCTTCAGGTCACTGAACTCACGGAATCTCCGATCGCACATATCGCAACCAAATGGACGTTCACCTATGATGGCAAAGAAAAATACACAATAAAATCTTGAAAATTTAACAAAATTATATATGTATGTACATTCTGTCAACTAGAGTAAAAATTCAATTCAAATCATCGCGTTTGTTTAATTCTTTAATAAGTTTGAGAATCGAAAATATATACTATGTTAACGCATTTTTTACAAAATTTTTAAAATAAGCCGTTAGACTCATTTAATGTGTAAATCAAAAACACTTTTACGTTCTCACCTGTGTGTATCATCATGTGCCTTCTCAAATTATAACTTGATTGCACCTTTTTGCCACATAAATAACACTCGAAAAACTGTCGACCTTTTTCACGTCTATCCATATCTTCCCAATTCAATTCTTGCCCTTTTTCCGGTTTATCAATGAACTCGATATTCTCATCGTCTGAATGTAGGACAACAATTTCGTTGCTTGAAATATTTGTATTCGTCTTTCCAGTGTCGGAATTTTTCGTAATGTCATCAATGTCGTCATCGTCACATTCCAGTTCACAAGTAACAGCTGCAGCTGCGAATGATAGCTCATCATCATCGTCATCACTATTGAATCCAACCACACCCACTACACTTTCTGTATTCCGAATATTGTCAGCAATCCTTTCGCATTGTTCTGGTTCAGAGTCACTGCTATCAGAGAGTTCTATATGTGCAATTATACGCTCCTTAGAGAGTTCGATTTTCTTCTGAGGAATCAATTTCGCAGATTTTGAAGTAAACGACGGACTCTTTGGAATAAGGCTAATACATGGAGATTTGAGTCTGGTTCTGCATTTATCTCGACCATTAGTAGAAATATTTAAATCTGACAAAGCAATATGCTGAACATTATGTTGTACATCCTTTTTAAGAGTGTCTTTTTCCACCTGATGCATTATTTGACGAAGCTCCTCTCGGTCATCCTCATCATCTAAATCAATAATTTCAAAATCCACTTGATTCTCTTTTGCTTTATGAACTGATTCAATTACACGGTCTGTGGACTTTTTTCTCTTTTTCTGTAAAGCACATTCTCGGCCAATTTTTATCAAAAAACCTTTTATTTTAGTATCTTCTATCGAGATAAAATTTTCTTCAGGTTCCTGATATTCGTAATGTGTATTTAAATCTGCCGCTGAATCATTTTCGGACAAATCTCCAGAAGATGCAAATTGAAATGTAGGTGCTTGCTGTAGTGGCGGAGGTTGTGCTCGTTGCTCCGTGGCATTTGAATGAGATGCAGTCGGAACTGTGCCATATGTACTACAACATGCAGGTGTTTCGAATAAATTGCTGGCATTGATATCTGAGCAACAAGATGGCTGTTTTTGCATTGAAACTTCATATGTAACGTTCCGTCGACCTTGCTGATTCCATGGTAAGCTAAATATTTCAATTCCCTGTTGGGTAGCAGTTATATTGCAGCACTCCAAAGACTTTGGATAATTCAAACATGGTCTTTTAGATGGTACACTGGGTAGGGTTTGAATAGCGATTGACGGCAATGATGGTGGGGAGCCATAAGTTAAGTTTGTTTGTGATGGCAAACGAATGAGTGTTGGTGGGGTTGCTGTTGCAGGTGCTGGTAATGTTGCATGTTGTTGAGTTAGTTGATGATGATGGTCAACGACTTTTAAGGTAGAGTGCGTGGTACTGTTGCCGTGGTTCGGTACAGATGGTGAGCATTTTAATTTCATAAGAATTTCCATTTCTTATGTATATGTTTGCATATACTAACTAAAACAAAAAAATATATATATTGTTAAATCTATAAAATTATATCATATAAAAAAGAATAAAAATAACGAAGATTGTGAAAGTAGAATAATTTTATTGCCTTACTATTTTTATGAAAATTTAATTTTAATTGTTTTTTATGATATAATAATAATAGTAGTACTTGTTTTTAGTTGTGAATCTCTTACCAGCGAATGTGGTGTCAGTTTTGTGTTAAGAAGCAATTCTATTAAGACGGCCACAACAAGAGGTATATTCAATATAAATACAAATATATTTTTTTTAATTTAACCGAGCGACGTACTGGCTTTGTCTTTGCCAAAATTGATGTAGCCGTCTATGAACTCGTCTTTATTTGTTGCACGAAGGCAAATTCTTTGCCTGCTGCTGAAATGTTGAACGTAGTTTCTTTTCGCTACTGCAGACTATGCTAGTTTTGATCTCGAGGCTGAATCACCCAAGCAGCACGAACCCACAGTATACACGAACCCAGGCAATAAAAATAAAACTTCACCGTCTACAAACCGAAACCACTCACGTAGTAAGCTCTGTTTTTGTTGTTTTATTAATGCTTTCGATATTATTTTTTCCGTGAAGATTTTACCTGTGCCCACTGAATCAAGCACTGCCAACATATAGCCGATGCCATTGCGTGCTAACTTGTTTTTCTTCAGGCGATGATATGCGAACGAAAATTCAAAGAAAAATATATATAAAAGAGTGGCGAAATAAAAATATTAAAGTAAAAATAAAACCAACTCACTACTGCCACAACAGTTTTCTTGCCGCGCAGCGTGCGTCAAACAACCGTGGCAAAACCAAACAACCACTGAACGTTAAAATCCGCAGCACATTGGACGCTCTGCCAAGGCGAAAACCGAGCAACGAACCACACAGCGCGAGCAATGCTCGATCTTTATACACCCCCTACCGCTTTGCTTCAGTGCTCCATACGAAACAATTGGCGCCGACAATTTGTTTCTTCTCACCCTTCTTCTTGCTACACCGACAAATCCAGTTTATCGTTTAATTGAAATCTTGATTCACAGATCTCTTGCGCTGCTCCTTTAATATGTATGTAAAATTTACTAACAAAAAATTATTGCGGTTGTTAAATATGTAAAATAATAAACAATTTTAACGAATTTATTTGATTCAACAATCACATTTGTTTTTATTTACACAACAATCACTTTTGAGTTGGTTGTTTCACTTTACATAAAACTCACAATTGGGATTTTAGCTTTCAATTTTCTTTGCACTCTGGAAAGCAACTGGAAAATTTCTCTTGCGGATTTCATATTTCAATCAAAATTACATTTTCCAAAAAAAAAAAAAAATAATAATAGTAAAGCTTTTCAGTGGTAATGAATTACCACAGAGTGTTTTGAACACAAGATTATTTATATATTTTATAAATTAAATAAATAACAAACTAATTGTTGTTTTAAAGTTGACAAATGACCATGCGCCAGGCCTTACGACAGAGAAAATATACTATTTATTGTGTTCTTATATACTTTCTCTGGTTAGGGTCTACGTTCCCGGAAAGGTCTTACATGTTCATATTTACATCTTAACATTTCCTATACAGTAGACTGTATTGACCTTTGGTTCAATACTTTATTTAATAATCGCAAAAAAACGAAATCATGTAAAATTTAGAAAAAATAATTGTTGTTAATAATATTACAAAAAAGAAAACTATTTGTGTAAAAATTATTAAATTTTATTACTCACCCTGTGTTTGTTTCCTTACAAGTACATCAACGTTAATCGATTTATTTTAACTGAAGTACAATTGTGAGAAAAACAACAAAAGACATTGAATTTTTGGTAAAAATAATTATTGTGGCATATATTGGAGAAAAATATTAATTTATTTTATAAGAATACATAACAAACTTTATATTTGAACATATGGAGTAAAAGTTATTGGAGATGTTGAGATATGGAATGACATATATGTTTTTTGTTCTCTAGGTAACATTAACTAACTACTCTTGACTCATTCTCGAAATCTGTTTGAAAGTGACATAGAATGAGTGCCCGATCAAGACGTCCTGGCACTGCCAATAGCCAAACCCCTAATGAATGTGTACAAGTAGTGGTTCGATGTCGCCCCATAAGCAACAAAGAACAATCCGAGGGCTCCGAGGAAGTGGTGGCAGTGTATCCTAATCGAGGGGTCGTAGAAATAAAAAACTTGACCGAAGCAAATAAAGAACAAAGAAAAATGTTCACTTACGATGCGGCTTATGATGCGTGTGCCACACAAATCAACTTATATAACGAAGTCGTCTTTCCTCTTGTAAGTTCAGTTCTAGATGGTTTTAATGGCTGTATATTTGCGTACGGTCAAACTGGAACAGGAAAAACATTTACTATGGAAGGTGTTAGAGGTAATGAAGATCTCAAAGGTATCATTCCTAGAACATTTGAACAAATTTGGCTACATATTAATCGGACGGAAAACTTTCAATTTCTCGTCGATGTCAGTTATTTGGAAATATACATGGAAGAGTTGCGCGACTTATTAAAGCCGAATTCTAAACATTTAGAAGTGCGAGAGCGTGGTTCTGGTGTTTATGTACCCAATTTGCATGCTATAAATTGTAAAAGTGTTGATGATATGCTAAATGTAATGCATATTGGCAATAAGAATCGCACAGTGGGCTTTACAAATATGAACGAGCACAGTTCACGATCGCATGCTATATTCATGATAAGAATAGAGATGTGTGACATTGAGACAAACACTATAAAAGTTGGAAAACTGAATTTGATAGATTTGGCAGGAAGCGAACGTCAGTCTAAAACTGGAGCTTCTGCCGAACGATTAAAGGAGGCAAGTAAAATAAATCTTGCGCTTTCTTCACTTGGCAATGTAATATCAGCACTGGCAGAGAATTCACCGCATGTACCCTATCGTGATTCGAAGCTCACTCGCCTGTTGCAGGACTCTTTGGGCGGCAATTCGAAAACAATTATGATTGCCAATATTGGTCCATCGGCATATAATTACAATGAAACATTAACTACTTTACGCTACGCATCCCGTGCTAAAACTATTCAAAACAAACCAGTGAAAAATGAAGATCCACAGGATGCTAAGCTTAAAGAATATCAGGAGGAAATCGAAAGGTTGAAGCGCTTAATTGCACCAAAGCAACAGCGCACTGAAAAGGTAAGCAAGAAACGACAACGTAAACCAAAGAAAGAAAAGGTAAACAACGAAGTGGTACAATTGGAAGTAGAAGAAAGTGAAGAAGAGCCCGAATCAGACAAAGAAAATGAAGCGGAAGTAGCGAAGTCAAATGTAGAATTAGAACGCGAGCGTGTTGAGACAGCTAAACTTGCTACTAAATTAGCAGAACTAGAATCACAGTTAGTGCGTGGTGGAAAAAATTTGTTGGATACCTATAGCGAACGACAGCTAGAACTTGAAAAGAAGCTTGTTCAGATTGCAGAAAGAAAAAAACGTGAAATTGAAATTCAGCAGCAGCTGGAATTGCAAGAGGAGACTACATTGGAAATTCGAGAGACGGTTACATCTTTGGAGCAAGAAGTAGAATTGAAGAAAAGAAAGCTCTCCAAATGTTATGCTAAATACTTGGCTCTACAACAGGAGCTCAATGATTGTAAATATGACCATAATCAGGATTTACGGGAATTGGAAATGGCCCAAAATGAACTTGTGAAAGAATTGAAACGGCAGTTATTAATCATAGATAATTTTGTACCAGTAGAAGTAAAGCAACGTCTCTATACCCAAGCGAAATATGATGAGGAGCAAGAGGAATGGAAATTCTCAACCACTCCAATGATAGGCGAACAACATAGTTTAACAAAACGTCCGGTTTCCCATCCTCAACGTCGTCGTCCCATCTCAGAATATGCATTAATGGAAGCTAAAACCAATGGATCTGGTGCTTTGCGTTTCAAAAATGAAAATATTGTAGCTTATGAACTAGAAATGCCTTGTCGCACCACACAGGAGTATCGTTCACCAAAAGTGTCAGCTTCGTTGCAAGCAGTATTAGCTCAAGCTATGCAAACCGGTGACGATATCGACATTGTTGATTCGCATACTAATTCTATACGTAGTCGACTTGAGAATATAATTAATGCTAGTGCTAATGCTTCAGCGGCTTTATCTTCTGTTAATAACAGTCCCGTAACTCCGAATGTCGTAGCCTCAGTGCCAATTGCCGGAGTACGTAATATTAAACCAGGTCGTGGTATAGCCTCTCCTGGCTCTGCTATTGACTCAAATAGACGCCCACCGACTGGGCGTATGGGGCTTAAAAAACCAGCATCGGCTTATCCCAAAGCTCGTGGACTAGTTAATAAGTAAAAAACGTTAGTTATAAAAAAGACGTCACGTTTAACATATGGAAGCACACATGTTTTAATCGAATATCTTATCATGATTATTATTATGATTGTTATTAAGTTCGAAAAGCCTGTAATTAAACACTTATAGCACCTGAAGATACCTATCGTTATATTTAAATGGGTTACAACTCATTAGTGAAGCATGTTGTTTTGGCAATACGGCTAAAAAGAAGTTAATACTCATAATTGATACACATACATATATGTGTACGTGTGTTAATTTATTTTTACAGTTTTATTTTCTAAGATTATTGTTTTATTGACTGTGCAATATATTAATAAGAAACAAAAAATCATACTAGCATTTTTTAATTTGATAAGCTTTACAATAATAAAATAAATCACGCACCCCGCACAAAAAATTGTATTTTTTTTCCATATCGGCGTAAGATTGTGATTTAGAGAAAATCCTATTTATCTAGATTATTTATGCCAGTTTTTTCAACCATATCCAGTAATGATTTAAGCTTGTTCTCAAACAATTCACAACGTATGGGCATTTCCAGAGCATAAAATGGATTTTTTAAAACATAGTCTGAATAAAGTTCATATATTTTGCGGAGTAACATATCCATACCACTAAGGCCAGTTTCCGAAATGATAATGAATTTAACTCCAGTTAATGTTTGAAAGCAATGCAATGTAAATGTGTCGGCCTCTAATGTTTCGATGCCGGAACTTTTAGGCTCTGGACTAAGCTGACTTGCAAATGCGTATAGTGGGTAAAAGGTACTAGCCTGTACAATCTTTTCATTGGTTGTCAATTTAGGCCTACAAAACTTTAAATTCACTGGATAATTCTCGGAGTTTTCCAGCGTAGTTTTCACATCACGTCCATCTTCAAGTGTGTTGCCGTTCACTGGCATACCGTTTACAGCTGTTAGAACATGTCCAACTACGAACAAAATATTAAACAATACATTTAATTGATGAAAAAAACATAATATTGTACAAACCATTGATTCCATCCTTCCTATTAAATACCACTGATACTTTTTTCGGATCATAGTCCAGCATTAAATCAATTGGATACGTAAACGAGCGTTCTTGTTCTATTTTCGGCACATTGCTATCCAAATTATAGATTAGGCCACCAGATTTACTTACTATATACACTCCATAAATAATCATTTTGAGTAATATTTATGTATATTTACAATTTATCAACACTATTCTTCTTCTTACACCTTGTTATTTAAACTGTTCACCATGAGTCTCATGAAAGAAAGACATATCTCATTATAATAAATTCTTGTCTTTAGTATCAGTTCAATACAATTATTTATTTATTCAACTTAATAATATTTTTCCACTTAATGCTCCCCTGAAAATTTTGAACATTATGAGGTAGGAAATACTAATTAATATCCCATCTACATGATTAAATATAATACCTATTACTAAAAAATATTTGAAATATTTTATTTTATTTATTAGCGATTTTCTATTTTTATTATTTTAATTAATTTGTTATTTACAAAGTCAAAGATGAATTACAATAAATAATAATGGACAATAAATAGTTGGAGACGTAATTTGTAGAATTCATAACCTACGTACATATTATAAGTTCAATTTATTAAAACACTTGAAGCTAGAAAACTTAGTTTGACATAGCCAAATTTTTCAAAGTCGTATGAATAAAATGGTTATGATATGAACAATTGCACATATCAAAGACTTACTTTGTTTTGTATATCAGTTGCATATTAAATGTGTGTATATGTTACACCTCACTCTTTTATATCTACTTATAAATTAATAACAATTGCAATACACAAATGCTCAGGCTCTTAAATAGATTAGCTCGTTAGAACATACAGTTCAATTTACAACAATTTCCAAAATTTCTTGGAACAATTTCAAAATCAATTAATCGATATATGCAGTAAAGTTAAATAGCCTTGGCCCAAAGTTGCCTAAATGCGTCACCGCAAGTATTTGGTTGGAAATCCCGTGTTATGAACATACGAAAAGAATGCCAAGTTGTGGGCAGATTAAGTGTGAATTGTTGTTTGATTGCTTAAATGTAGTATAGGCGCACAATTGATTTGGTGATAAGTGTGTCGTTGTCATAGAAACTTGTTTGAATTGTGACATTACCATTTAAGACTTTGGCTGGCATCATCTGGGACTCAGGTGCAGCTTCGATTGTCGATTGCCAAGTATTTGTAGTATTTGCACCTACCCAACCCATTTCGAAAAACCATTCTTCCATTATGCGTCCTTTAAAGAGCACCTTTTGATCGAGACGAAAATTTTCCATTGATTCAATGGTGCTGAAGTTGATTTCACGGGACACAGCTCTTAAATCCAATATTTTGATAGGTACGCGCGCTTCATGTTCTATATCTGGTGAAGAGAAGTCCTTGTTCTCTTGCCATATTACTTTTCCAGAATCCGCGTCACGAAGAATCATATAATTTATTTGGAAACCTTTTTGGATTTTATCTCCAGAACTTATCTCTGTATCTTCGGATCCCATGTTTGTTTTTCTTTAGTGCCGTTCCAAAAGATCACTTTACAATTGATTTATAAATAACTTATTCAATTTTTTCGTCGTTTTTTCGCTCACAACCAATGTAAAATTCAATTGACATTTGTATGTTTTTATTGTATTTCCATTTAGTCTTCTTCTTCTTCTTTGCAAAGTTAAGCTGATCACAATTACCTACCCGTCACATTGATCACGTTCCTAACGTCTTTACGTTAATGCTATACTATTAACTGAAAACCAAATAACGCACGTTAAATTGGCGATTGGCCGCAGACGATCAATGGCCTTACCGCAGACGAAAGAAATGGAACTGAGATGAAAACATTTAATTATGTAAAAATATATACAAATTGTGTACACTTCAACCAGAGAACTTAGAAGAACTTCTTCTTCTAAGTTCTCTGCTTCAACGGCTTATAATGCCATCACTTAATATTAGAACCGGTAACTTTTTCATTGAGTTTGAATCACCCTGTTGTTGAAAAAGCTGGCAGAATTATTGACACTTCACTGCTATGTTATAGCGGAATTTAAGTGTTTGGATAGCTTACTTTTATCAAGTTATTCTGTGAATGTGGAAAAATTCGTAGTTAAATATCTTAGAGAAGAAGTTTATCTCCATTTCAAAGTGTTTTCATAGTAAATAAAATATGGATCAAATGTTGAGTCCTGGGTTTTCCATTCCCAGCATTTCTGCAACACCTCTTCATCAAATGGATGCAGATCAACAGATTGTGCCTAATCCTGTTTATCACCCTGCCGCGGATAATCATGACTTAAATCACATGGGAATGCCTTCGTTAATGAATAGTGGAAACTCACCGGCAACTGCAAATAATGCTAATATGATTGGCAGTTCGCATCCCACTTTGCCGACGGCGCATAAACAAATGCAATCGTTTCAGAGTTCCAGTTCTTTAATGACAAATGGAGGAGCGCCGCAAAGTCTAATGCAACCACAAACACCAGTAAGTAATATGTTATAGATACCAGGGCGATAATTATATAATATATTATGTTCTGCAGCAAAGTTTGATGTCACCGATGGTACCGATGAGTGAACGTGCCGAAAATCTTAGCAATATACATCAGACAATGGGTCCTGCCACTCCTATGACACCAATGACACCCGGTTCCGCTGACCCCGGAATTGTTCCACAACTACAGTAAGTATACATAAATCCTAATAATAATATACATATATGGTATGTAGTTATCCAAATGTTATTAATTTTCTATAAATTTTAGGAACATAGTTTCAACAGTCAATTTGTGTTGTAAATTGGATTTGAAAAAAATAGCTCTTCATGCACGTAATGCAGAGTATAATCCCAAGCGTTTTGCGGCAGTGATTATGCGAATTCGTGAGCCACGTACTACAGCATTAATTTTCTCCTCGGGTAAAATGGTATGTACCGGAGCAAAGAGTGAGGATGACTCAAGGTTGGCGGCAAGAAAGTATGCACGTATCATTCAAAAATTAGGATTTCAGGTAATAATTTGAGAATGATGGTATGCACGTGTAAATGAAAATTAAATACAATTTCTTACTTCTGTAGGCCAAATTTCGTGATTTCAAAATCCAAAACATGGTCGGATCATGTGATGTGAAATTTCCTATTCGCCTGGAAGGTCTAGTACTTACTCATTGCAATTTCAGTTCTTATGAACCTGAGTTATTTCCAGGATTAATTTATCGAATGGTTCGACCTCGTATAGTGCTGCTAATTTTTGTGTCCGGTAAAGTGGTGCTAACTGGTGCAAAAGTACGCCAGGAAATCTATGAAGCCTTCGACAAGATATTTCCTATTCTTAAAAAGTTCAAAAAACAATCTTAACAACAGTTCGTTTATTGTTTTTGCTGAAGTTATTAATTCAACTGCAAAAAGAATTTTGCATTAAATGACTTCTCTGCTTACGGTTGGTTGCTAACAATGCAGTTGTTTTTGGATGAATCAGGGAGTTATTTTTCTACGCATTAAAGTTATATATAATGTATGCGTGGAAAGCTAGATAAGTATATTATAGTTTATTTAATAAGTATGTATATTAAATTTAGAAGCAACGGGTTTATAAGCCGTAATCTATAAATATAATCTAATTTTATACGGCATGTTCTAATATTTGTAATTAATTTAGTTCTTCGTTTAATATATATAAAATAAACTGAAAATATTCGTGTAATTTTATTATAATTTCATATGTTTTAAAAAATTGCAACAATGAATCACTGCTATTTCCCCAATAGAAAATGTTTCCAACGCACCTTTAAAATGGTTATGCCTTCGTCAACAATTCATTTTTTTTTGATTAAACTTTCATTAAATAATTTTCTTACAAACTTTATCGTATATTTCGTTCTCATGAAGAATTATACTTACATACATACATATATAGAAAGAAAATTAAATTTATGTAATTACAAGCATTGAGCCATTAAACCACCCAAGTTATCAAACTCAATCTTTTCAGTTATGTTTTTCGTCTTAATTTTCTCATCTTGGACAGCAATGACAATTAAATTTCCTTGGTGTTTCCAGCCATACTTCTTTATCCACTGATCAAGTGTTGACTCTGCAATAAAGTTTTTATTTTTTATCTTAGTTATAAATTTACAGCAGCAGTTATTACCTTCAATTCCTCCTAATAGTTCTTTTAGTAAATCTTTCCTGATAGTTTGGAAAGTTATTCCAACAACATGACATACGAATTTACGTATGGAATCATGGAAACCAGAAATATGACGAAACAGGGATCGGTTTACTTCAGCACGCTGCCAAAACAATGTAAAATCTGTGCGTTCTAATATGTCGGCCAAGTCAATTATGGTTTGCACGGTTCCATCCTTCATTTGTTGTGGCAATAATAAACATTTGGCCATAACAAAATCTGTATGCGGCAGGTTTGTTAAACACTTAAGCAATATTGTGTATGTTATGTCGAAGTTAAGCATATGTGGGTTGAATTGATAAAGCTTGAGCACAGCCAGATTTGCTTCCAAATCATAAGTGTTATTTTTAGCTTGATCTTCGACATAAGCTTCCAGCGTTTTAAGATGATCCGGGTTGTACCTGTATTGAAATTGGAAAGCAGAATCAGCGTTTAAGGTTATGTTTGGATCTCCACCTGCACAAATGCAAGTATTGAGCTTACCGTTCAATGCATCCTAACATCTCTTGAATGGTTTGACTTTGACCATTCTCCATTTTCACCATATGCGACATTTTTATCAATTGATGTTTTTTTAACAATATGATTTTAATAATTAATAATCCAACAGTGCGACGCAAACAGAATTCGCAAGTTGACGTTATCGAAAAGAGTGAGAGAGCGTCAACAACTGTCAGTGGCTAAGGTGGATAATGCAGTTTCGAACAGAATGGTAATAGATGACGTACTATTTACACTCTATATCATCATTATAATGTTAGTATAAATTTACCACAAAGAAAAGATTTTACCCAATTTTAATATGCTTTCAGAAAATTTCATAAAACATTTTTTTTAATTTATTTAATATGCATAGCTAATGTGTATTAATTGAGTTATATTAAGATATTTTACTTATATTACTGGATATTTTTGGGTCACAAAACCATTTCAGCTGGTTCAGCTAGGCTCCGTCTAAACACATAATGTACGAGCCTGTTCATACGTGAAAACTTTAATTGCTGTATCTCGTGGTTTCTAGTAGAAGATGCGACGCTGAAAGACAAGCCGAACTCCGAGTTTTTCTAGTTCGGGCATTATGCTTATGGTCTTATGCATCAAATGGTTTGAAATATATATGTATATATAATTTGTTTATAATATATTTTTGTATTTAATATACAAATATAAAAACAAATATGCATAATACAACAGAATTGTATTAGAAAATGAATATTAGAAATGTATTTGTATAGAAAAATGGAAGAAAAGCCGAGTTGCTGGTTGAACGAAATGGATGGTCACCGCCAAAAGAGAAGAGACCGGTGTTGAGCAATAAAAGTTTTGAACGCAGACTTACGAATTATTCCTTTTTAAAAAAGATTTTAACCTCTTAGTGATTAGACAAGGTTTGAAAAAAAAAAAACCGAGTTAATATCAAGTCGATTCTGCGAAGTGTGAAAAGCCATGAAATATATATATTTTAGCAGAGAGCACATCGCTTCATAGGCGCCTCTAAAAACGCTATACTTTCCCCTCGCTGCCTGTCGATTTCATTTTATTGCACAGCTGAAAACTGAGCAGCTTTAAATAAATCTACGTGATTGGGCAGCTCCACGCAATTGATTAAATGTGTTATGTGTTATCTACTCACTTGTTACGCACATCATCAAACTGGCTAAAAGGAAATATACATATGTAAATAGTTCACTGCTAAGCAACAGAGTGCGCTGCGGCGGCAATGTCAATTTAATTTCACACATGGTCCTTAGGCGTTCAGCTCAGCTTAGTTTGTTTTCGTTGACCGGCTTTGGCTTTCCTCGTCGATGAAAAACAAAAACAGTGCTATCGCGCTCAAAAGAGATCAACGGTATATGTACATATGTATGTATGTATATAAATGAAAAATTTAAGCACACACCAGGTTTCCACAGTTTCAAATAGTGTCAACTGTGACAACTGTAAGGGTAACATCCCGCTAATGCAGCGTACAATGATAAACTCGAGCAATCCCGAAATTAGTTCATAAATTTTAATACAGATTTTATGTAGTTCAAATGGGTCATACGCATTTCTATAAATCCTAAAATAAATCCTAATAAGCACACGTGATTCTTTGTATGTATACATTGTATATATAAGTACATATCTACATATATACGATTGCGAATGTTCCTATTATATAATATACATGTGTGTGTGTGTGGTAAATATGTTTGGGAGTCTGCTCAAAATGTCCTGCACAGCTTAGCCACCTTCCAACGCGAACGCCAGATATACAATATGCTTAAAATGTTGTTTCTGATGGCGGCGAATAAGAGCAAATTTCAAGAGATTGCCGCGTCGTGAAGAAATCGAAAGGCATATTATCTGGGTTAGCTGCAATGTTTTGTGTCAAATTTTATTCCATTACTTTGGAGAATGTAATATCGTATAGGAAAAATACATACATACATACATACATATAAGTAAGTATTCCTGACTAACTTTCTACTACTCGAAATAAGTAGTATTTGTGGACCTTTTGCGATTTGACGAAAATACATTTTTTTGTCTACCATAATTAAAACTAGTATGACACTGGCCTATCTGCTATTATACTATTGCCGATTCAATATCTGTTTCTTTTACTATAAAAAGATAGTTAGCTGTTTAATAGAGATTGCTAACCATACTAGTTGGAATACAGTTTAAAATTAGTTCACTACACAGCAGGGTATTAACATGACTTGTAGGCAGCTGCAGGCTGAAGTACCCTGCATATAGTAAAATATATAATTAAACCTCAGTGATTCTTTGTGCGCCAAACATAAGAAGCCTCAACTTTCAAAGATTGATCTGGCCATTTCGAAAAGGTTGGCGTTGTGTTGAAAAGTGGGCGTTTACCATTATTGTAAAGTAGGATTTCAATTAGTTAATAAATTGATCTCCAAACAAATACGTCATGCTGAGAGTTCATAAAATGTGTTTGCGAAGACTAAGCTCGCTCCAAATACTAATTCTCAAGCGCGTATACAAAGCAATCTACATGTACATACATGCATATATAAGTATGTATATGCATAAATGCATATTAGCATTTCTTTCATATACGATCATATCCGAGCACATACACACGTATATACACACTAAAATGATAATATCTATGCTAAAATGGTTTATTTCCAAATTTTACTGTAAATACCTTAACCACAGGTAAATGAGCGTGTCGAGTCTAAAAGGATCATAACTGACATGTTCGCCTAGCGACAGATTAGAATATGTGGATTAATTTAAATACCATCCCGGCTAATACTCTGGCTAAAGCAAATGCTGAGCAGAGATATACATACATACATGTATATCTATGTATAGATGTATACTCGTGCATATATGAAAGGGTTTTTGTGTGCGAAAGTAGCAGGAGGATCTCATTACTTTTAAAAGGATTTTAATTAAGTTACAAATTGATTTTTAAACAATCAACATACGCTGCGTGCGTAGATAAGCACTCCTGCCACATCCCAACAAAGACAGTCTAAAAGTCTTAAACATTTTTTGTTTATTACATTAGATACGAGTGCAATTCTCAAACCATTATCTGGACGAAAGTAGTGTAAAGGAACTACAGCAGAACTTCACTGGAGACTGACAGAAAAGGATAGTAATATCGGTCAAATAAGTTAGTTACAGGGCCGGCCCGTTCATATAAGCAAGCTAGGCAATTGTATGAGGCGCTGGAATTTTAGGGCGGCATTTTGGCTAATTTTCTTTACATATTTGTACCCTGCAAAGTTTATTAAGGTAAAATAGGCTTAGAAGGAGCCGAGAATTTGATTTTGCATTTGGGCGGTAGTTGTCTCGGGCCGGCCCTGATTAAGTAATAAATTTGATTGATAAACTAATATTGTGAACGCCATGTTTCTTCAATGTTTCTCCAGGCGTAATATACGATTTAAAATTAAAATATGAGATTATAAGTAGACATCACTAGTCGATAGCTAACCTCTGCCTTTGACGTGATATTCTAGGTAGTTTGTGTAGCAAATCGTTCAAAATCGGAACAATAATGTGCGCTATATAGTCTTCATTCTTGAGATATTGTGTGGCATACTGTCAAAAGAGCATGTTTCTAGCTCCATCGGCTATACTTTCGAAGATTGAGTTTTACAAAAATAAAAAAATTGTAACCTTGATGGAAAAAGCAATTCTGCTACAATTACAACCATGCTGAGAATTAAAAAGTCAAAAAGGGTTTAGTTATCTTATGTTGGCGGTGGGGTGAGTTCCGAATCACGCTACCAATTATCACATTGCCGATAAATATCTTCGCGTTGCGCACTCCCTATAGCTCATGGTGTTTGTGGTGGTCTTACATACGTACGAGTATGCATACATACATACATATATATATATATATAAATGCACAGTTATCACTTCATAGCTTAATGATTTCAACGCCAAGCGCTTGCAACTGACAGAATAACAAGATCTTGAGTGGTTGACGCATTCAAGTGCAGCGCTGAAGTGTTAATTGGAAAGCAT